ATTTCTACTTCTCATATAAAAACTTTGGTTTACCAAACGCAATTATAAAACTATTCCCATTCCCTTTCCAATCTTAACACTCCTCTATCGTGAATCACATTTTTCTCAATTACTTTAAAAAAAACAAAACTTTAATACAAAATTTTCCCTTTTTCAAAAATCTAATTCAATTCTTATTCGCTTACGGCCTTTATTCACATTTTACCTGTATGTTAGAAATATTATTAATATCAACTTTAAAAAAGTAAATGATCTTACACAATTCTTTGATGCTTTATATATAATATATATCAATTAAGTTTACCTTAAATCATTTTATATATCTTATTATTTTTTCCTTTTTACAAAAAACTTTTTTTTTAAAAAAAAGTATAAAAAAAACTCATACTTGCTCCAGCTTTCGTGACGAATAAACTTCAAAATTTTACTCCCCTTCCCCCAATACATTTACAAAAGAATAATATTTCGATACAGGTTTTTGAATATATAATTTTTTTTTCTTTCATTACTCGAGTCTTAGATTTCATTACGTTTCTAAAAAAACAACATATTCTTCAAAATAAATATAAGATGCATATTTGCTAGTGCTGTAAACATTGAGTTCGCGTTCAACGTTAAAATAAAAGGAACGCGTTCACGTTCGTTCAAAATTTTATGATAAATTTTTTTTAAAATTTAATTTAATATAAATAAGTGACTTATATTTTTTAACACAATATATTAGTCATGTTAAAAAATATTATAATTTTATTTTGATAATATTTATGATAAAAAGATATTTTTTTTATAAATATTGCTTATTTTTTCATCAGATAGGAACGCTTGGCAGTTAATATGGCATTAGATATACTAAAAATGCGTTTTACAGGGGCAGATGAGGGGATTGCTGTATTACACTTAATAAACAACTTTTTTAACGAGGGGTCTTTATTAAAAACATTTGTTTTGTCCTTTGCTTCAAAAAATTGCGATAAGTTATCCTCCTCCAATTCATCCTCTACTTCCTAGTTATATATTAAATATTTTTATAAAAATATTAAATTTATCATTTATCATTTATAAAATTTTTATATTGTAAATAAAAACCCAAGGTATAGTAGATTCAAGGAAATGATTTTTATATTAAAACTTTTATATATTTATCTCTATATATAAATTTATACTTCAAATTGTGTTTAACAAATAAAATATAAAATCCTTGATTAAAATAATAGTGATTAGATTATAATTTTAAAAAATCACATTAAAATAAATTCTAAATAATATCAACCATTTTCTATCCATGTATATAATATATAAAATTTAATGATTTATACTTAGAACAATCAAAAAAAAATTATTAACTGGCTACTTAGTTATATTAATAAAATAATTAATATTAACAAAAGTCGTTTTAAATTGGAACTTGAAGATTTTGAAACTGATATATTACTTTTTGGGCACATTTTACATTTGGTAAGATTGAATTAGTTCCTTCAATATAGGATGTTACTGTTGTAATATATTTATCATATTTGGGCCATGATAATGTTAATTCATCTGATTTTTTTTCAGAAACAGATGATGATAAAATAATAATATCCATGCTTATGCGAATCTATTAAAATATAAACAATAATATTCAAATTAATAAACTATAATTGGCTTGTTAAAAAACTGAAATATGAAAAAAAGCTAATTAAAAAATATAAAAAAATTCGGATTAATAAATTAAAAATAAAGTGTTTTTAAAATTGGATGACGTTTTATGCGAATGTGTTCGTCAAAAAAGTAAGAACGCCGTTCATTATTTTTTTCAAAAAAAAAGAACATTGTTAACGAATGCGTTCGTCAGCACTAATATTTGCGAATACTATAAGATTTAATTAATTTGCGAAAGTATATATTTACATAAAAATTAACTTCAATAATGATAAAAAGATACCCGTTTAGATATCACCTATTGAGAAACAATACATATTGGAGAATATTGCCCTTTCATCTCCGTCCCCCACTTCCTGACCTCAACCGCCCTGGTTCGATCTCCCTTCTCAGCTGGTCAACATGTCTATTTCCCATCCGGAAATCTGATGCAGCATAACATTCTACCTATTTTTTCGATCACCACTACCCAGATCACATGGGGCTATTTACCCCAGCCTAAACCTCTCATATCAACACGTTGGTACACACTGGGATACTCAACCGACTTCCACAACACATTGAGCCATTTCCTCAGCAAAAAAATAAAACTCCCATATCACACGCTGGTACTCATCAACTGCCCTCCATACCACATATTGGGCAATTTTTTTCAACCGGCCACCAAAATCCATTGAGCCATTTTCCTCAACCGACCCACAAATACACATTGGGCCATTTCCTCAGAAAAACTTCCAAATCACACGCTGGTACTCCTCAACCAGCCCCTCAAACACCATAGGCCATTCTCACGGCCACCCTATGCTGATATGCTTACTAGTACAAAACGTCGAAGTATGACCATTATGGCCATACTCAAAACAATTAATATCCCTACAGTCTTCGGCGCTCTGCCCACTTATCACACATCTATAACACATAATTTTTCTATTCCTCGACCCTTCAGATGCAACCCGATATATCTCCATTCTTCCCTCCTATCTTAACGATTCCCAACATTACTTGCCCACCCCAGCAACATCTCCTGCACAGTCAAACACGTTACCCTTCCATATCTATCCTCCTCACCGTTGTGCCCTTTAATCACCAACGTCCACCCTTTCCTAATACTCCTATTCTGCCGAAATATAAACTTCCCAACTAAATCAGCAATATCACCAATGGCCCCAGCATATTATACTGTATCTCCACATATTTAATTAATTTAATACTTCATTTGACTAACAAAAATAATTAAATAAAATGAATGAGAAAAAAAAATTTCGCTTTAGTTTATCTCTAAATTAATCAATATATACCAAATATTCTAACAAAAAAACGATATAACTCAAAATATTATCTATAAAAAAATAATAATTAACTAAAAATATTTTAACAATTTGCAACTTAAACAATATGAAATAATTAATAAAATCCACACAGAAATGATGCAACAGTACATAAAACACCTTATTACCAACTTTACAATTTTTCACTATCACTTACAATAACCACAGTACTCCACCGTATCCCCTCCCCCCCTAAAAAAAACTATATTACTCAACAGAACCCATGTGCCTTCAACAAATATTTCACACCACGGAATTCCCCTGTGCCTTTAACAACAATTATTTCACTCTACAGAATTTTCCCTGTGCCTTTTATAACAATATTTAACTCCACAGAACTTCCCCTGTGCCTTTCACAACTATTTCACTTCACGACTAACCCACTGTGCCCTTAACAAATGTTAAGTTTTTTTTAAACCTAAATAAATATAAGAATAAAATTTTACTTTGGTCACGGCACCGAATATTGCTTGTGCCACTAGAATAACTCCAATACATTAAATAATAATTTTTATTATATTGAAATAAAAAAAAGAAAAAAAACATTCTGCCTAAAAAACGGCCTTTTTATATCTTATAATTAAATAAATAAAAAATGATTCTCTAAAATAAAAACAATATGTCTCATCCTGAGTCTTACAATCCAAAGTCAAAAAAACTTACAGATGTTACAAAGCATATTATTGCCCGTAATAAAAAAATTATAGTAAAGATAAAATATACACAACAAAATAAAGAAAACACCAATTATAACAACATACTTTAATATCACTTACTAGTTTTTTCATAAAAATTACCCAAATAAATTTTATTCAAATTTATTAATTTCTATTATTTTTTTAAAAAAATAAATTTTTGTAAATAATGAAAAATGATTTAGAACATATTTTATTTTTACACTAAAAATAGCTTGTTATTTTTTTCTTCAAAATTTATTTACTTAGATTTTCGACATAGCATATATAAAAAAAATTATTAAAAATGATAGTTTATATAAATTATTTACAAAGTAACTTTCAATGTATTAAGTTTTTGAGATTTAACTATAACTAGTAACATTTGAAATAATGTAACTAGTTACCTATCAAAGATATAACTAGTAACTTTTAACAACATGAATTTTTTGCAATAATGACTATAATAAAAATTTTTGAGAAAAAAAGTGAAAAACCAAAATTAATATAATCCGATCTGCAAATGCATAAATTTATGGGAGGAAAAGTTAAATACCCCCCCCCCCCCCCCCATGAAAATATTATATATGCTTATCTATAGATTAGAATTAGAGACAAATTATCTGAATATTTATAATTTTTATTAGATTAATTGACACAATATTATAGCTTAAATTAAGTTGATGGAAGCTTAGGATTTCTTTATATAAAATTAAGCTAATTCCGTACTTTTAAAGCTAAATATAATAAAATTTTCTTGGATAATTTGGTCAAATTTGTAATGTCCAAAAGTAATGAGAAAAAATTTGATATTTTAATAAAGAATGTCTCAACATATTATCAATGCCAAACTATATTAAAATTATTTTTTCAGAAAAATATGACATTAGAACGGATTAATTATTTGAAGTGGTAAAATTCACCAGAAATAAAAATTTATTGTACTTAACTCATGAGAAAAGTTGATTAAATTTTTACATAATTTATATTCCCAATTTATTCACTTTAATAAATTTTTCAGATTAGGGACCTCTTTTGTCTATAGATTTATTAGAAGCTGAGTTAATGATCAGGCACTACAGACCTACGAAAAATAAACTAGGTGAAAATTAACTGGATTGTATTTATACGTGTATCATGTTGATATATTATATGAGATTTATTAAATTTTGCTATATCTTTCGAATAAAACTCCGATAAATAGCAGTCTTAGTTTATCTCAAAAACTAAATATTATAAATTGTTTAAGCTATGATAAAAATATGAAGGCCTGATATTTGCGTGCACTATTGTAACAAATATAAATTGCATTTTATGACATTTAATGAGAATTGAATAATTTACATTAAAAAAATAATTATTAATCATTATCAATAATTGCCCGATGACAATTTACATAAATTATATTTAGATTAAACCATAAAATGAAATATTATCATTTTCATTTAATAAATCAGGTAGAATTTAAATATCGTTGAACATCATTGCTGTTTCTAATATATATCTTGTAATAGATTTATCAAGCATAATAATTAGGTGAAACCAAAAGGTCGGCCAAAATTTCGAGCTCCTCATCGGTAAATTTAGCCCTGTGGTCTTGATGCCAATTATCTTGATGAGTCCTTTTAAAGTTAGCCATTGTTTGGCGTATAAGTTGAGAGTTGGAAGTTTGGGCTCCAGTTCCAATTTTACCCAGTTTTTTGGAGAAACTGGTGTGAGATAAATGTGATAACTTGACTAGAATAGAAGGCAATGCCGGTGGGATATCGTATGGGAACGCTTCTACAATGGCACAAAGCCCCAATATGCCGGCTGACCTAAAGTTGTAATTGATTTTATTTTCAATAGGACTTTCAATTTGATTTAATTCAATGTCGTTAGTTGGTGATAGTAATTGTACAACTTGAGATAACAAATGTGGTGGATCGTAATAGCAGTTAGGGACGGAATAAAAAACATTTTGATCTTGATTCACTTTAAATGAGAGGGAAAATATTAATTATAATAACTAATGATAAGTATAAAGAAATCAAATTAGACATGATTATGCTAAAATAAATAGCATTTAATTTATATAAGCCTAGAAAATGATTTTTGATTATACCTCTTTTTTCCTTATTAAGTTCATTGGCATCCAAATCTATCAAATCGGTCAATGTCCTTACTAAAGCTTGCACGTCTTCAACATTATTGAAGGGTAAGTACTTGCATCTCAATAGACCAGATAATGTATCCCGGGCTCGTTCCCTGACCTCCAAAGCAGGGTCTGCTAGCCCTGCTAAACAAAATCGAAAAGCAGCTGTGGCATTATTATTATTAGTTTGAAGAGAATTTAAAGGAGAGTTTGTATAATTAGGGGATTTAAAAAGAGAATCGCAAAAGATAGAAGCCCCGAGGTAAGAAAGTGCGGATGCGCGCGCTTTACGTAATGGACATTGAATAAAATGAGCTGCGAGTGAGCATAAGATACCTGTTTTGAATATATAAATCATTTTAGTATAGGCAAATAAACATAGCGTTAACCGCAATAATATTTACAAAAGTAAATATATTGATAATTACGTATTTCCGATAATATAATAACTTTTTCTAAATTTATTAAATCATTCTGATAAAAGTAATTATTATTCTTAAAAAAAATTCTTTATATAAGAGAAAGATTTTAAAACATAACGAATTAAATTCCCGGGAATTATTTATTTAATTAATTTTAGTATAGAAAAGGCTTCTAAGCATTGGAAAACAAGATTATTTATATATTAATATATATTTTCTCAGCTGATTAAGGCAATATTGTATTATAATAAATAAAATATTTAGTTAAAACTGTGTTTGTAGATCGTTCTACTCAGGGCGACTCTAAAATGGCTTATAGATTTTTTTCGGAAATCACGAGGTACCTTGAACAGAACGGTTAACAAAGACAACAATAGAAAAATCAGATGAATTTTGGGGAGTTTAATGAATTGGCTAAAAGTCATATAATTATAATTAGACACATTAGAATATGATAAAAACAAGAAGAAGCCATGGCAACCACTGCAAGATATTAATTCTTAAAGTATTTCAAAAAGTTAATTATTTAAATATAAAAATATTCATAATATATAAAATTAAAATCAATCAATAGAGGAAGGATGAGGGCTTCAACTCAGGTTTTCAACTATGTGGATATGACTGTCCGTTTATGATATATTTAGATTTCTTAATTTTCAGGAACTGACATAACATGATTATACACAATTATCTAAAACTTAATGCTGTAAATTTAGTGCTGTACTAAAATCAAATGCATTCAACATTCATTAAAAATACATAAATAAAATTAATATAATCTTTATACTATGTTACTTTAATACAGCTTTTTCTACTTTATTTTACTACCTTAAAGAAATAAATATTATTTTTACTACTTTAAAATAATTAATAGTATTTTTAATATGTTAAATGCGAAAAGCAAATATATTATTGCTTATATTTTTTGATAAATATGAAAATTACGTTTAAAAAATAAGTTTTTTAAAATTTTTAGGGGCTGGGCCAGATAGCTTGTACAAAATATATTCAATGGGATGGGTAAAAATAATTATGGGCCTTGTCAAAAAACCCGATAGAATACATGAACCGAACCGGCTCGTCTTAATGACTACAGCTATTAAGCTATTATTTATATTGGCTAAAGTAGGCTAAATTTTGGAAAGTCGGCTAAGCTTGGCCGTTTATAGCTATTGATACTGTTTATAATCATCTAGTTATTTCAATGCCTGAAAATTAAAATACATTAGCAGCAAATAGTAATATCTTCATGGATAAATAATAGTTAGCTTAATTAATTAAATATTGTATATAGATAGATATTAAATTAAAAAATAAATCAATTATCCTGTAGTGGTTGAAATAGATTTTAATTGGTTTTTACCTTATTTAATATATCTAATTTATTGAAACCAAATATAATTCATTTTTTAGGTCAAATTTATATTCCTAATTATTCAGATTTACAAAATTCCCGTGAATTTTAGCTGTTATTACTATTTGCATCTATTCATAAAAATTTAAGCAATATATTTGTGTAAAAATCTTATTTCGGTGATATATATTGATATGATAATATATACATATTGAATATATTTATCATCATCACTATTTTCATCGGTCGATAAATAGGTGCGAGAAGAAACACATCGAGAGACAAATATGTGTGCGGCGGCCATTTCCTTGGCAGAGAGAGGATCTCTACTCTCGATTCTTTTTTCCAAGTAGAACAAACAAGGCAAAAAATGCGCCATCTCAGGAATTATTAAAGGGTGTGCCGATCTTTGAAGGAGAGAATTGAGAAGTTTTAGGAAGGTTTTGAAAGAATTTTCTGATTTTTCGGCGTTTTGGGAAGAATAGGAAGATTTAAGGATTTTCGATCGTTCGAAATTTAGGTAAGTATAGGATGATTTAGGAAACTTTTCCGTCATTGTATGAATAAGATCGTTTATATAGTATTCTGTAGGGTCTCTTACCGAAAAAGGATTTTCAGTATGATCAAGCAAAGGTGGACTAAGGTCTGATATCTGTGAAATTTGAGATATTTTCTTAGTAGTTTGGCTATTATCAAATTCAGAAGAGAGTTGTGCCTTATTATCTTCATCATAATCCACCTCCAAAGTTGAAATTTGATCCTTATTAGATTGATTAGGTTCGCGAGAGAGCGTCTGCAAGTGTAATACTATGTTTGGCACGATTGTGTCACGAAAAAAATCAGAAAAAGATGGACCACCTGTATAAGAGTTTGAAATAATTAAGAATAAAATGTTATTTAAAATTATGAGGTTTAAAATTAAGGTTTTATAGATAAAAATTGGGCCATATCTTAAAATTTTTCAAAACAGTTAAGAATAATATAGCAATTATCATTTTAAATTTGTACCACTTAAATTTTTTAAATAAATTAATGATCATTAGGGCTGTGTCGATATTAAATATCGGTTTGGATCGGCACCGATATTTGGCGTTTTCCAAAAATAACGGATCGGGACGATACTGTAAAACCCGATCTATTTTTACTTTTCTTTTTTTTATTTTATGTATATTTATTTGACATTAATAATATTTTCTAAATAATTTTTTTTAAACAATGCAAATGCACAATATCCCTTAAATTTTATTAAATAGATTTATAGTATTTTAAAAGTTTTTTTTATAAAAATAGAAAGGAACACCCAAAGTTTAGTGTTGTTAAACGGCTCGTTTTAGCCGATTTTTACAAACGGATAACTCAATATTTCATCCAGAAAAATATTACGCAAGCCTGAAGATTTTGCTCATAGAAGGAACAAAGGTCTAGGCATATATTATCGAAATCTTGAGGCTTAGGCAATATTTTTCTGGCTAAAATATTGAGTTGGTTAATTTTAAAAAATCAGCTCGAAACGAGGCGTTTAACAACAATACCAAAGTTTTATTTATTTTAAATCTTTTTAAATAACAACGCCAATTTTATTATTTATAATTTAATATTTACAAATTTCTAACTAAATTTATTAAATTAAAATAATTATTAAAATTTATAAGTTTTTTGGAAGAAAGGCCTCTCTTTTTATTCTTATATTCTACTTCTTTCTTTGCTATACTCATTAATAAACATATATATGGCTAGGGTGTAGTTCCACATAGCCTCATATCTGGGTTACAAGGCTTGTTGGTTTCCTTGAGAAAAAAATCGGCATAATTATATGAAGGATGGGCCTTTATATAATTCATGTACGCTCACCTTTGGGCGGGTCTATGACCAACGTTCAAATAAAGAATTTATACTTTAAATAAGAACTTTTTAAATATGGTATTTGAATTATGGAAATATTTTACAAAAGACAAAGATAATTTTGCAAAATGCGTTTTCTGCGGAATTCTAATTTCATACTACCAATATAAACTTTTTTAAATTATTGTAGAAATAAAAAAATAAAATTAAATGCATAATTCGATTTTTTGCATAAAAAATATCGATTTCTTAATTACATTTGGTTCAAAGGGAGGTGGCGAAAAATCATAAATATCGGATCGGTATCGGATCGAGTTTGAACCAATATCGGATTGGATCGGTGAAAAATATGTAGCTCGGCACAGCCCTAATGATCATTTATATATTTTATTTTTTAAAACAGAATTTAAATAAAATTTATATCGATATTCACATTTACATCATTAAACTGCAAATTTAATAGATTCTAAATGAATTTATAATAACCAAGAAATTAATAAAATTTTAGTACATAAGCTAAAATATTTATTTAAATTTTTTTAAATAGTCTAATGATAGCTATTTATAATTAAATTCAATTAAATTAGAAACATTGTACGGAACGTTTTGAGGAAAATTATGGAATAAGAAAGGAATAGGAGTTTAAAAACGTTCGTGAAAGAGACAAGAGTATAAAATTTTTGATTTAAATTATTACATAATTATAAATATAATCTAAAATGGTTCATAAATAAATAAATTAAGTTTAACAAATTTATTGCCCATTAATAAAATAAATATTATATGATAAAAGTTTTAAATTTCGGTGAAAAAGTATTTTTCAACAGTCATATATAACACTCCAGTATACATAGAGACATATTATTATGTCCGGAATGAGAAACAACCAGAGGAAAGGCTGGATCTAATGTTGATTTGTTGTTTTATGTTAAACTAAAAAAAAGAGATAAATTATGTTAATAAAAATATTATTAATTTTTGTCTGCCAGTACATACTTTTTTGCCATTAATTTAAGAAACTATTCTTTTATTATGTAGTTTTAAAAAAATTATCGTTAGATATTTTGGGGGTAGTCACCATTATAATAATGATTAAGGTAATGCTAATTTTTCAAGATTAAAATTTATAAAATAAAAAGTTTCATATAACAAGCAGTCATGGTTACTATATTAATGAATGATATACCGTTAACGTTAGTGCCATAGGGATCTGCGAATATAAAGGGAAGGGCTAAAAGTCCTCCTATGGCGATTTGCAAATTTTTAGATCTCCCATTGAAATAAAAATCAGTTCCTTTGTCAGAATCATCCTTGGTCCCGACAAAAAACGTGTAAATATGACGTGCTAGTTTATCGTGCAATTTTCCTATTCTCCAATGAAATCTGTCAAGGGCTTCTATAGTTAATTTGAGAGTCAGGCTAACGTTAAGAGTAGACCAATGGTCCCTTTCTTTCTCAGCCTTTTCATTTTCGACGCATCTTTTCGTCTCTTGAGGAGGTTTAAAAAAAAATTGATAATAACAATTTAATAAAATACAGTTTGTATATATTTATTAACATGACTAAAAATTATAGTTGCATAAACATATCAATATAAAATTATTATCAAAGGCAACAGTGACCCCTATACCCTTCGGAAACTACCGAAGAAAAACATCCCTTGATCTCAATGACATATCATTTTAAAAATCTTCTCCCCACCGCAAATTTTCCCCTTCATTTACAACCCCACAATACGTTATAAAAATGTTAATATTTAAACATCGTGCCCACAAAACTAAAAATTTTAGAATAAAAACCTTTTCTCTTTCTATTAAAGGTTAGTTATTAATTTATATATGATAAATATGTTTTAACCAATGAAGAGGATATAATAATAATTGATACTGTGAGTAAACAAAAAAACTTCCATAGGTGAATACAATTATTTAATATAAAAAAATATTTGGAATTGAGTATATTTTATTATAAAATTACATAACAAAAAAAGTAATAATATTATATTTTCTTACTAAAATGCTTTTAAAAAATTTAAAATAAAAATTAAATAAAAGTACTTTCCTAAATGACGCAACCGCGTCAAAAATTCGGGGAAAATCAAAATGCCCATTACCTTCCTAAGATTTTACCGACCGGGTGGCGTTGGTCCTTTCCCTTGAATATGGGGCACCCTGCGTGCCTTTACATAAAATCATTAATTAAAATCAAGTAAATGAGTCAAGAGTGGAAAAAATAAAAATATATTTAGAAAACTTTCTTCAACACCATCTAATGGAAAGAAGGAACAACATTTTGCTACCAAATGTTCCAACAACCAGTGTAAATGATTTGGGTCCCTATTTATGCAAACGTATGCTAAGGAGGAGCGCCAAAATTTGTAGTTCTCGGGAGTCAATGCCTTTAAAATAGCACCGTCTATAAAGGGACGATACATCAAAAAAAACTCAACACTATGTTGCATCGGCCAATACTTGCTGGCCCGAATCCAACCGGCAAAAATTTCAGCTGCTATACAATGAAGGCTTAAAGGTTTGGAGTTTATTGGTGCTTTGACAAAATATTATTTGTGATATAGAATAAATTTGCAATAAGATATAGCTTATGAAAATAAAAAGTTTTTCGTTTTAATAAAAATTTTGTTAAGAAGAGTAAATCAATTTTTTTTAAATTAAATTTTAAGACTTGTGAAAAAATTTCTTTCATTTTTACCTTTCTATTAAAATTTACTTTTAGCATCCCAAAGCCGTTCCTCTAGGTAATCCATGTAAACGCGGGTTAGTATTGGACCGTTATTACGGAAAAGGCCCTTAAAAAAATTAACTCGTAATAAATCGAATTCAATATCAGTGTCTTCAGATGCCGCCATTTTAGATAAAAATCCGTCGATCAAAGGTCGAGAACAAGTGGTCTCATAAACTATCCTATGGATTTCCAGCGCACATTCTGTTTTGAAATATTTGTGTCGTAAACATTATAAAAATAAAGGTATGTTGTGATTTAGCATTTTTCTTTTTTGCTAAGTGGTCACCCGGGTAGGCCAATTTGCCTTCTAATTCCCTTTCTCCATTTTCCATGGTCCTGAACATCGCCACTGAACCGTAAAAATAAAGAAAATATTGCTGGAGCAAAATCTTTCTCAAATTAGGATTATTTTAAAGATGTTATGTTAATAAATAGGAAAACATTGGCACTAAAAAAATAGTAAGATTATTAAGGGATCAACAAAACCAAGTTGAAATGTACTTTATTATTCAAATATTACTCACCTTTCCTCTTATGGTGAATTGAACTCTTGATATAATCATTACCAACATTTACGTGTTTATTAAATGCTAATAAATTGTCATTAGAACTGACGCTATTTATAAGATTTTGAGAATAGGCACATTCGAAATAAGGTCGGACAAATCCACTTGAGTTTTCTCGTTGGTAATTTGGTCCGAACGATCCATAGTCTATGAGGTTAAGTAGAAGAGGTAGCTCGCTGGAGTGAAATAAAGGGTTATTTGGGCTGGTGTAGCCAATATAACGTTTGTGAATGAAAATCTGGTATCGTATAAAATATTGTTCAAATTAGACAAGTAAAATTTATGTAATGTATTATAAAATATGAAAAGCCTAGACAAAAATAAAAAGCAATTCTTTAACAAAAGAAAGTAGTAGCTTCAATAAGAAAAGTAATTATAATTTAATATTGTAATACAAATATCTAAATAAAATAATGCAATACATTTTTTTAAAAGATGGAGAAATATATATCATTTTTTAAATTGTGCATTCTAAAAGTAATATTAAATTAAGACTAAATTATTAAATATATAAATATACCTGATCGTTGACTAAATTCATATTAACAGTCCTTTGAAGGGAAGAGTCCTTGTTAGAATTCTTATTGTTAACCTTCTCTAAATTTTTAGAGTTTATATCGACCATATCTAAGTCAAGATTATGAGGTATTTCAGAATCCGCATATAGTTTATTATTCTTATAGGAGTAACGATTTACGCTGTCCAAATCGATCATCTTTTCCCTAAAATGACTACATTGTATCATATTCGCCTCAGTTTTAAGTTGATTAATTTGAACATTTACAGATCCTGTATTTTCTACCATTTTTGTCTGTTTGATTTTCCCGTTTTCTTCTACAAAAAAATTTTCACTAATAATATTTATGGATGACGATAAAAGGCATGCTCTTTTGGAATATTCGGGATATTTTTTGAGGAGCTTCAAAAAACCGACACAATTTCCCAAATACAATAAGCGAACTAATGGTGAATCATCTACGGGCCCCAAAGGCGTAAGCGTAGCAGAAAAAAATTGGCGTGTTAAATCAGGTGTCAACGGCGTTTCATGAAAAAAGATGACGTCCCCCAACATATGAATGGCTACGAAAAGGTAGCGCCAATTTTGTCGAGCCAACGATGGAAGCGCGATATTTAAAAGGTAATTTTGTAGAGCGGTTAGATAGGAGCACGCTGGAAGGTGTGAGGAAGAGATGCGACGGTAATGATACTGTAGAAAAAAATTTAAAAATTATAAAGGAAAGTTTGGTAATTTATTTTTATTCAAAGTTAATTGGTAATATTTTCTGAACCTTTACAATTATTACGTAAGGATCAATTATATCATTTCTAGGATAGTATAATTCAGAGTTCCAAAAAATAACAATGTGTTTATTGAAAAAAGCAAAAATATAATTTAGCATTTTTTACCATTTATAGAAGAAAATTTAAAGTAAAAAGAAATTTACAGCCTTCTTTTTTCTTTCGGATTGGAAGTTTGTAGATGTATTTTTTTTAAAATTTATGAAGGTTTATTATTTTTGAATATCGGCTACTGGTTTCGGTGTATCTGGTATAATTCGATCTCAATAATATCTTGACAATAATTTAGTTTTTGCTGGATACGGAAAAAATGGAAATTTGAATAATCAGGTATAGACACTCATTAAATTCATGCATATTATATTATGTACAATTATTTATTAATGTTTTTTAGATTTCATAATAATCAATCCACATTATTTGTATCACATTTTTTAAAGTATGATAAAAGTTTATTTTTTATAATAATGATAGAATTTTTTTTTATATTTATTTCGTTTATTTAATTTTAGTGTATTTACATTCTTCGTTCAATCTTGAATTTTGCTATCAATTATAGAAAGTTAAGTGTTTTACTAATTAGTGTTGCGTAATCTGCTAATCTTATCAGAATCCAAAACGGCTTAGCTGAAAAATCGGCTAAAACTAATTAGTCAAAAATTAGGCATGGGCTTATTGTTATGTTACATAATAAATAAAAATAATTATAAACAAATATTTTAACAAATATAAGTAAATAATAATTAAGGCCAGGCTTATCCTACGCACTGACGGACGATTAGCCGCTCCTTAGCCGATACCTAATTTGTTTTAGCAGATTTTTCAGCTAAGCCTAATTGGGTTTCGAAATTTTTAAGATTGTGCGATACTATTATTAATAATCTTTTTATTTATACTGTTTAAAGTAGTGAAGGTCAACGGTCCGGTTTTTGTTGAGGACCGTGGTTCGGACCGGTCTTTTTATTTTTTACGACCCGGACCGGTCTTTTATTAATATTTAAGTTTACTTTACTATTCAATTAATATAATTTTTTTGTATATTTTATTTTATGATATTTTTCTAGAGGAGTTATTTTAGATTTTTTGATTTTTTAAATTTTTTTTACATTATGAAAACCATAAGTTTGTCCAAGAAACATTTTACTTATAGTGCTAATAAAAAACATAGAATATGTGTTCACTGTAATACCAAATTTAACATATCGTCAGCAACAAGTAACAAAATAATTGTTTATAATTTTTTAAGCAATAAATTAATCAAAATAAGCAGTATTATTATTAAAATATTTTGCTTATTATTTATATATCTATTTTTTCTTAAGAAACTGTCTGAATAATTAATTGTCAAAATAATTTAACCTTATTCTTAATAAAATAATTAGGTACCTTAAGCAGACATTTGATAAAACATAAAATTTATACTTCTAATAATGAAAATGGAAATATCTCAAAAACACAATCTACTCTTAATTTAAATATGCCCTCCACAAGTACAAAATCACTTTCTTCAATACCATTGGATAAATTCCAAACAGATCATATGAACCAACTCATTATAAAATGGGTAATAATGGACTCTCTACCAATGAAGACTTTTGAAAGTTAAGGTCTTCATAATTTAATCAAATATTTAAACTCAACTGCTACAATTTGGTCAAAAAAAGTTAAAAATTTTTATACAGCTAATTTTGAGAAACTAAGAAATTCTCTAAAAGATATTTTAAATAAAAATAATTCTTTAATAAGCTTTACCACAGATATGTGGAGCAATATAAATAAAATTTCATTTATAGTCATTACTGCACATTATATTGATTTTTCTTTTACATTAAAAAATATTTTACTTGATATAAATTATATCCCATTTCCTCATACTACTGAAGAAATATCCTTAGCTATAAAAGAAGTAATTGATGTATATCAATTGGAGGAGAATATACTGGCCTGTACTACAGATAATGCCAATAATTTCCTAAAAAGCATGGATATTTTGCAGAATATTTATAAGGAACAAAAATTTAAAGGCTTTAGATGCTGTGCCCATATTCTAAACCTAATATCTCAGGAAGGTTTATCATATATTACAACTATCCTAGAAAAGTGTAGAGACATAGCCTTTTCTATAAATAAATCACCCAAAATAAATCAAGCATATGTACAAATATGTGAAAATAAGGGTATTACAAAATTTAAAATCCCTTCTGATATCCCTATTAGATGGAATAGTTCCTATTTAATGATGAATACAATTTATGAGGTATTTACATTTTTATCCAATTATTTTTAAAAAATATTTAATTATTAGAACATGGATGCTATAAGTAGTTGAATTACAAACAATTTAAAGGGGTTTTCTTTACTGAGTGTGAAAAAGAAGACCTTAAAGAGGCTGTAGATTTTCTAAGGCCCTTCTATAAAACCACACTTGATTTATCAGGATCCAAATATCCTACATTTGGGATTTCCATGTTATATATGGAGAATATAAATAATGAAATTTTAAATAATATAAAAAAGGATAATAACAATACAAGAAAAGAAATTCTTAATAACATGCTGGTTAAAATGCAGAGATATCTCAAAGAATTATTTTGCTATGAATCATATGTCTCAACATTATTTGATCCGAGATTAAAACAAGTTTACATGCCTAATACTCTTAATAGAATTGAGTATATGACCAAATTTTCAAAATATTTAAGGAAAATAGAAAATAAAAAAAATACAGGAATAACGGATTCTCAGGTATATTTTTAATATTTATTTATTAAATCCTAATTTTCAAACATTTGTGCCAGGAGGAAATCAATGAATTTAGTTTTTTAGAAAGAATTTTATCCCAAGAAAGAAATTCAGAAGGGGATTATATATCGGCAGAAATCATTGAAGAAAATATATCAGAACTTCATAACTATTTGAATGAACCTCTTGTTTCATTAAAGGATGACATATTAGTATGGTGGAAAGCCAATAGTGAAAGGTCTTTTATATTTTTTAAATAGTCAATATAGTTTATTATATAGATTTCCAGTCCTCTCATTAGCAGCTAGAAATTTTGCAATTCAAGCAACATCTGTCCCCTGTGAACAAATATTTTCGAAAGCAGGAGATCTTGTCACTAAAAAAAGGAATAGGCTTTCAAACAAAACAATACAAGCTTTGATGTGTATGGGCTCTTGGTTAAAGAATGGAATATATCTATCGCCTCCATTAAGTCCCTCTTCTAATTCCTTCCAAGGAAGTTCTACAAACAAAGACATTAGCATTTATTTAAATTAAATATTTGTATTAATTATTATATTATACATAATTAATTTTATATTGTTTATATAATACTCTTATATTTATTTTAAAAAAAATATGTACCACGGTCTGGATCAATCTTTTTTAAGGACCGTGGTCCGGTCCGGTCCGAGGGTATCGGTCCAGTCCGGACCGTGACCTTCACTAGTTTAAAGAAACCTTAATGTATTTAGACGTAATTGATTTTTGAACCGCAATTTAAAATCAAATATTTAAGACTCACTCTAAGGCGTGACTTTATTTTTATTTCGCTTTTAACTGGTTTCTGTTTACTGACTGTAAAAACTGATTGTGTTTATAAATACTAATCAAACGTTACATACTACTGCAAGATATTCAGTGCTTCTATACTTCATTCTAGCATGATGGCAATTTTTATTTATTTTGCCAATAATGAGTTTTACTTAACTGTCTAATTCTTTCACAGTTTTTATTTGACTTCTAATTCGGTTACTTTTGTATGACTGATGAATTAATTGAAGAATTGATAAGTAAGGCACTACATATTAACGCAAACCAGATATTTAGAACTTCCAATTTTCCGTTCTAACCTAATGCTATTCTGACTATTTTTTCATATTTTGCCAACTTTTTCCTTTTTGAACCATGTAACAAACAGAATATGCAATAAAATGTAATACATAAGAATTACTTAATGGGTTTGATATAACTTTCAGAATTAGTGGCTCACCGACGCCTAAAGCGTGATGTCATAATTTCCATTTTGTTTATAACTCGGCTTATTTTTTGTGGTTCTCAAAACTGATTGAGAAATTAATAAGTACAAGTCAGACACTAAATATTAGTGCAAATCAGATATTGAGTTCTTTTATATCCATTCTAGCATACCAGTTTTGGATTTTTTTTTAAATCTTGCTAATAAATTTTTCCTTTATACTGTCTACTGATAAAGCATGAAACATTGGCATAGATTTTAAAATTAGAGCTTCCAATTGTTCAGTAAGCTTTAACGAAGATGATTTTGCTAAAAGTGCAGTGATTATTTGTTAAAGTGCAGTGGATTATTTGTTAGTAAGATGTGATAGGAGCATAGTAAAATGTGAAAGGGTTACCGGGAGAGGAATGTATTAATCAGCATCGACTAGTTATAGGCGATCTAACGTTTAAGGTGCCAGGGTTTGGAAATTGAAGGAAGAGAGTGCTAGACATTAATTCAATATGTTGGCGATAAGATAGGCGGAGGTGGCACAAGAATCTGGGGTAAATGACAAGTGGGAAGCAATGATAAAAACCTGGGTGAGGAACTGAGGAAGAGGTGGATGGACAAAAGGGCCGCTTAGGCATAAAGAGTGGTGGAATTCGGAGCGATAGCTGTGGATGATGCAGGTTCTTCGAAGAATGGTATAAAAATAGTGATAACGATATTTACAAGATGGCGAAAAGAAATGCTACCGAAGGCGCAAGAAGAAAAAAGGCAGGAGTTTGCTAAAGAAATGAAATGCGCGGAAGGAATGGGAAATTGTCCGAATGGCAAAGTAGATGGGGAAAAAGAGACAGGATGTGGTGTTGTTTGAAAAATATGGAAGGAAAAATGGTGATTGATAATAATGGTATTAAGAACATCTGGAAGATATACATGGGATTGAACGAAGAAAATGAATGGAATAATGATGTTCGTTGTGTAAAGGTAGTAGGTCGTGCAAATTTGGTAAGGACGAAATTAAGAGAGCAGTGAAAAAGATGAAAAAAGGGAAAGCAGCTGGTTTGTATCATAAATGTTTAAAGGTTCTGATGACTTAGGAATTGAATGTTTAATGAATTTTGCCAATCAAATTATCACAGAAGGAACTATGTCCGAAGATTGGCAAAGAAGTATAATTATTCCAGTATGCAAGGGGAAAGGTGACCCTTTAGATTGCAGGTCTTACAGAGCTATTAAACTCTTAGAGCATACAATGAAAGTATTTGAGAGGGTGTTAGAGAAGCGGATAAGAGAACAAACTAAAATTGATGAAATGCAGTTAGGTTATACATCAGGGAAAGGCACGACAGATGCAATTTTTGTGGTGAGAGAAATGCAGGAGGAGTATCTTGCGAAGGAAAAGAAACTGTATTTTTGTTGATTTAAAGAAAGCATTTGACAGGGTGCCACGCGAGGTTATAGGATGGGCCTTGAGAAGATCAAGTGTGGAAAAATGGTTGGTTATGGCAGTGTATGTGGGAGCACACACTGCAATACGGACAGGTGATGGAGATAGTGAAATTGAAGTGAAGGTAGGACTTCAAAGATCCGTGCTGAGCCCATTATTATTTACCTTAGTAATGGATGTGGTGGCTAGAAAAATACATGAAGGACTTCACTAGGAGCTATTATATGCAGATGATCGTGTATTAATGGCAAACAGCGAGGAAGAATTAAGGGATAAAACTAGTAAATGGAAGATGGCTATGGAAGCAAAGGGCTTGAAAATGAATGCAGCGAAGACAAAGTGAAGATGGAGAAATCCGGCAACTGGCCTTTTGGTGTATATTGGAAAGGAGTTGATAGAAATTTAATCCAATGCACATGCCAGAAATGGGTACATAATAGATATAGCGAGAAAAAGGGAAATCTGATGTTATCAAGAATGACCTTTATTTGTAGAACGTGCGTAAAAAAGGTACATAATACTCATAACGTAGAAAATGGTGGTTCAGATATTGGCAATGAGTTAACCCCGGTAAAAGTAGATATGTTTTGTTATTTGGGTGATATGCTAAATGCAGATGGTGTAGATTCTGTTGTTTCAAGGGTCAGACAAGCATGAAAATTTCAGAGAGATGTCTATTCTAACAATGTTTCCGTAAGTTGTGTGAGGAGTTGTTTAGTTTATGGCGGCGAAACATGGACAATGAAAGCGACCCACAAAGTCAAATCAGAAAGAACAGAGATGAAGATGATTAGATGGATATGTGGAGTATATATGAGAGAGATAAAAACTAGCAAGGAATTGCGAGTAAGATTGGGTATGTAAATGATTGGAGTGGTAATGCGAAGAAATAGACTATGGTTCGGGCATGTGGGACGTAAAACAAAAGATGACTAGGTAAAGAGATGCATCTTGATGGAAGTAGGAGGAACAAGACTAGATGAAGGACCAAGATGACGTAGATAAATGTGATAGCGGCGGATATGAGAAAAATGAATCGTATATTTATGATCAGGACTGTCAAAAATGGAAAAGAAAAATCTGAGGGAAAACTGGCCAACCTTGGTAGACCTGAAAATCGCCCTTAAACGGAGAAGAAGATATAATATACTTCCATAAACAAAATGAAAATAACCACGAGTAAATAAAAAATATCTAATTATAATTTTTCATAGGCAGGACCCTGCCGAAAGCCGGGCAAACAGGGATTTTTTTTGGGGGGGGGGGGGGTTTCTCCCTTGAATAAATCTTAGTTATTTACTGACTCTAACAAATAATATATTACAATTCTATATTACCTTCAATAAATGGTTTAGACTTAATATAGCCCTGTAAATGTTTGGAAATAAATTATATATTTGCGAGCAGATAGCCCATCAAGAATGAGTGAATCAAAATTTTCTCCTTTATTTGATGAATCAAAATTTTCTCCTTTATTTAATGGATCAAAATTTTCTCATTTATTTGATGGATCAAAATTTTCTTATCTTATGAGGTGTGAGTAAATTTACTTTTATTTTAATAAGAGATGCGAATATTTTAAATATATTTAGTACCGAACTATTGAAACATATTTATACATATACTATTTTTAATATATCGATTTCATGATAGCTTAAAAATGTCTTAATCTATATTTACAAATATTTTTCAACTATTTGTTCATATTAAAGGCACTAAATATATATTCATTAATATATTTTATAAAAATAAGGAAAAATTTCGCACCTCTCATCAAAATAAAATTTGTGACTCACACCTCATAAGATAAGAAAATTTCTTATTTACTTAAAATAAAGGAGAAAATTTTGACCGGGCATGGGCCTAATATTATATTTACTAGCGGGCCTGGGTTTTCAAAAATTTTTTAATTTAAATTTACTTTATTTACAACAGTTGCTAACTTAAAAAATATTTAATTTTTTTACTTCTAATTCAGTAAATTTCATATTAATTAAATATTGTTTATTTTCATTAAATATAATAAAATAAATTATATAGACTTGGGAAAAATTTTGGAACTTATTATAGGTTTGTGAGTTTTTTTAATAATAAATATGGGCCGGGCCTGAGCCGAATTTTTTCTAATGCGGACATGGGCCGGGTTTGATCAAAAAATTAAGGTCCCTGATCTGCTCGTTAATTTCATATTTTTAAGAAAATGTATATGTACAATAAATAATCAATTTCGACTAAATTTTATACAATGTTTTGTAATTTATGACTTAAAAAATTTAATCGAAAAGTTATAAATATACCTAGATTTGAGATAATATATTTGTTTAAGAAAAAATAAGACTAATAATTTTTTTTAGAATATTAAAAATGACTCATTTATTTTATTTAGATAAGTCAAAATTTAAAATAAATCAAAGTCAATCAATAAGGTAATTTTTTAAAATCGAAATATTGAAATTTAGCAAATAAAATTTTTAAAAATTTAAAAATCGGATTAATTTTAAACCGATTTAAATTGATTTAAATTTGTCAACCCTTATATATATTATAACTAAATGTATGTAAATAAACCAGATTTTCTTGAAAGGGTTTGGCAAGTGGTAATTCACATTTAAACACAGGATAATGGCTTTCAAAATCATCTGAATGGGAAATTCCTTGTTTATTGCACGAATTAATTTCATCGTTGGTGTAATTTTCTGAATATAATACTCTTTCCAATATCAAGTCAATGCTTTTTGGTATGAGGTAATGCCTGAAAAACAAAATATCATGATTTATATAATTTTTTTTATATAATATAAATCAGATACCTGCAGATGTATATTTGCAAGGCCCAACCCGAATTTTTCTAAAAATTATTTCTCGGCCAGGTCCTTCCCGGGTTTTATATTTTCAGGTCCGGCTGACGATATAAAATCATAGGCCTACCTTGAGATAGAATTGTAATGTTTTATTTTTTAACAAACATTAATTTCTCTTTTATAAAATTTGAAACTTAAAAAATTTGACGGTGAAGAATAAAAAACGCCAAAATTTTATCTTTTATTAAATGTAAAAAATAATCCTTTATTACTATGTATAAAAGTTTTGTAAAATTAAAACGTAAAACTTATAGGAATCTATTTTATCAAATTTAAAAATATAGGATCCCGTAAATATAAAATTTGGTCCATTTTGTAAGGAAAATAAAAAAAACGCAATAATTAATATAATTTGTTTTGGCGCGATATTCATTTCCAAAGTCGATAGTGCTAGTTTTATCTAATTGGTGAACTCCCCCCCCCCAACTTCTCGGGGTTCACTAGATTCAGGACGATCTCAGGAACCTAAGCCTAACTATATAATTTATAACAGAGTTGGCAAGTGGTCAATTGACCGGAGAAGTATTTGACCTGGTCAAATATGGTCAAATGCTCTAAAAAAATCTAAAGAAAAAAATATGTTTAAAAAACAGGAAAAAACGATCACAATGTTGAGAAGCATCTCACTAGTAGTGAATTCAATGAAGTATATGATATAATTCAAGAATTAGCCATTTTACAAGGTTGTGATGACCAAAGTATTTTAAGTGATATAATTAATTTCAGAAGTAAAATCAGCATGTTTAATAGCAAATTATGAGGAAAACAGTAATTTCCATAAGAAATAATCAATTCCGACCTCAAGTTAATAGATTAAACTTTTGCCTTCATGCCCATTAAGAGACTAACAATTCCTAGTTCTTCCAACGAAATAGGTCGATTTGGGTTAAAATTCTTTTGAAAATAGAAATCGAAATGAGTCAGAAGACTCTGCTACAGAGAGCTAAACGTTAGTTATTGAATGACAATGAATTTAAAAAATTAATATTATAGATTCATTTATTATTATATTTAAAATAAAGTTAATATTGACTTAAAAAAACATATAAGGGCATAAATGTAAATATAAAAATAATATTTAACAATATAAATGAAACCCAATAGTGAATTTATTCTAGGTTAAGATAATTCCCCAATAAAAACTAAAAGCTCGGTCAATAAAAATTTTTTGAACCAAGCTGGACAAATTTGAAATATTTTTATGGAATACATATATAAAAAAATATTATTTATAGAGATTGGGATAGTTTTTTGGTCAAGCTCAACCCTGTAAATTTTCTTGCCCACCCGTAAAATATATCTATATAAGTTGTTCTGTCATTGTATTTGGTAGCAAAAAAAGTATCTAGTATCAAGGGCAGGGAACTCAATTTATATAAGTTGGGTTTTTATATTTGAGAATAAATACCTTTTAAGGTTTATAAGTGCGTCACCTAGGACGGTATCTACACAATCATCATATAAATCGATCACAGCAACTTTTTCTGGTAAGTGAATTTCGAAGAGGAGGCGCCAAATTGCGCAGATCTCGTCAGGTTGATTAGTTCCACCTAAAGATTTACGTATATTAAAAAATATTAAGTAATAAAAAATATTAAGAACATTTTTTGCTTTATAAAAACTTTAATTATCAAGCTATAAATTTTCTTTTCACTATCCAATTGAATATTTTATTGTTTCAAATGCAATCATATATTGCAAAATATTTTCCATACTGTAAGAGGATCTAAAATAAATAAAGAAACAATTAAACTGGACAATAGTCAAATTTAAAAAAATCTTTTAAAAATGTAAAAAATATAGAAAGCATTATTTTTTAATATAATTCCTAGAATTTGGCCTAAAATTTTTCTATAAAGTATATATATATATAAAAGCATCTACCTAAGCAATTATCGCTTAAGATTCCGCCTTTACCTCCAAGAATCAAGGCGAACATAGCCTCGCTTGCCCGGTCTAATGCTTCGGGATCTAATGAATCATATGATGAACTACTTACGGCCTGTGGATATGATAAATGCATTGTAGACCTTATATCGTGATTCATAAAGATAGATTTATCATTGGCTTTGTTTACAGAAGGTTTATTGCGATTTTCTGGATTCTTTACTAAAATTATATCAATATCCGATTCCATACTATCTAATTTATGGGTCTCCAAATCAAATTCCACTAGTGTTGAGATTTTTTCGGATTTTAAATTTAAATTAAGACTGCGTTTTTGCCCTATAGAATCTAATTGTGTTTTTAATTTTCCCATGTCATTATTATTATGCCCTTCGCCTGATTCCTTTTCCGTCTTATAATAAACCTCAGGGGCTTGTAATTGGTCCGACTCTAAATGAGCGCCATTATTTTCCCCTTTCGATTTCGTTTCATTAATTTTTCCGTTGAAACTTAGAGGGTTGACAATTCTACTTTGCTGCTGAATCTTGACAAAAGCTTGCAATTGAGTTATAAGCAAAGCCTTAGCCGACCCGTTCCATCTAGAGAGTATGTCATCAAGCAAATTTAGGGCAGAATCCCGAACTCCTTTGTAAGCTACCTAATATATCGGAATAAAATAAAATAATGAAAATTATAATTAATTTATTCTAAATACCAATTAATAAATTTGTAGAAATATTAGTAAAGGATGTTCATCAGTATATTTAACCAGGGTTGTACAAAAAATCGTCTTTGAAGATTTTTGAGCAAGATTAAAATTTGAAGATCTTTTATTTTTTAAAAATTTGAGCAAAGATCTTCATATTATTATAAAATTTTATAGTAAATTATTATTTTTATAATATTTTTTTTGAAATAAATGGGTTAGTAAGCATGTTAACATTATCGTTATTTTTTAACTTTTTTGACAAATGAGTAAAAATTTATAATATTAACAAAATTGTTAAATCAAAATTTCAACGAAGATGGAATGTAACACAGAAAAGAGACAATTATCCTAATCGTTATTTTTTAATTTTTTTGACTTGTATAAGTAAAAATTTATATTATTTAAAAAATGTTAAATTAAAATTTAAATGAAGATGTAATGTAAACACAAAAAAGTTACAATTGTACTAATCGTTATTTTTTAACTTTTTTGACGCTATAATATTAAAAAAATGTTAAATTAAAATTTAAATGAAGAAGAATGTAACATAAAAAAGTGATAGTTGTCATAATCGTTTTATTTAATTTTTAGAACTTTTTTGAGGCAAATGGATTAAAATTTTTATTAACATGTAAAATTAAAATTTCAATGAAGATGTACCATAGAAAAGTGAAAATTGTCATAATCGTTATTTAACTTTTTAAATTTTTTGATAAAAATATATAATGTAAACAAGTTAAATTAAAATTTCAATGAAGATGTACCATAAAAAGGTGACACTTGTCATAATCGTTATTTTTAAACTTTTTTGATTTTTTTTTAGGTAAAAATTTATATTATTAGTATAAATTAAAATTTCAATAAAGATGTAAGATAGAAAAGTTACAATTGTCATAATCCTTATTTTAAATTTTTTTGAAATATTTTAGATACAACAGAAAATTGATATATAATATTTTTAAACTTTTATAAAATATAAAATAGAAATTTTGACAATCATTGATTATTTCAAAATTATTGAAAATATATATTGTTCAGGTAGGTTGTCAGAAAGGATCTACCTTCGAATTTTAAAAAATTAGCTTTACCAATCTAATTTTTTTAATAAAAAATATTTTCACAGAATATTTCTTAAATTTTTGATAGCCTTATTATTAGATTACAAAATATTAAAAAACGATGATTTCTAACTTAAATAATTTGAGAATTATTTATTATTAAGTAAAAGTCGTGCTTTAACTATTTACGATGACATAAAATAGCAAGCCTTTCCAGGCAATAAGGCAAAGGTCAAATTTAAGTCACAAGTTCAAATTTTTCAAATACTTTTATGGGTTATTTAATTGCTTCGCTGGGTCGAATTATTATAATTTTTGGTTGAAAAAAAAGCCAGACCCAACTCAATCAAATGGGTGGATCTGGCTGACAAATAAATCTATAGACCAGAGCACCGCCAACTTTATATAATATTTTACTTTCTATTTTTTGCTCAATTCTTCAATTGCTGATTAGAGAAAGAATATTAACATTGAAATAATTATCTTGTATTAATAAATGAGAATACTTTTTCAAAATGTTCTCTTCTTTAACCTGAAAATATCGACTAAAACCAACTTTTTATAATATTTTACTGTCTATTTTTTGCTCAATTCGTCATTCATATTGGTGATTAGAGAAAAAATAGTTCAATATTAACATTGAAATAATTATCTTGTAATAATAAATGAGAATACTTACTTTTTCAAAGTTCTTTTCTTTAACCTGAAAATATTGTAATTTTACTCTACCAACTCGGCGAAATGTAGTCGTAATTATGAATCTTTATTGTAAACTTAAGGAAATAGTTCTCAATATCAACACAAAATAATTATCTTATATTAATAAATTTAGAATACTTATTTTTACAAATTATTCTCTTCTTAATATACAAAATTGTATATTTTTTACTTAAGTCTCGATCGTGAATATAAGTTATGAAAGGACGGCATTTTATAGTTAATCTTAAAAGACATATTTTCAGTCAACATCCTAATATTGCAGCTAATTTGAAGTCAGATGAAGTTAATTGTGATTGCCAACAGCAAGTTCGCAGTCAAACGAGAAGGCACTCCAAACAATTAAAATCGTTATGGACAAATCGAGAGTATTTTATTACATACATTTTTGTTAGTAAATCGTATAATTTAATTTTTTCAAATATTTTTTGACTAGGGTTTCATTTATTTTTCAGACTAATATATTACGTTCAGAATAAAAAAAATCTGATTGATTACAAATAAAATATAAAAAGTATTTTTGAATCAAATTTGACCTGAAAGTGGTATTTTGCAGGGCTCTAAAATCATTATTAATTTTAAATCTAAGTAATTTCTAAAAAATTTAGGTTTACAAATCGGTTGTGGGATTAATTGCCATTAATGCCAATTAATTTAGTAACATATGAATCATTCAGACTATTATTAGATCCAATAGTCCAATCGTTGAATATGACTATAAACAAACACATCGTGATTGATAACTAAAATATGGTGCATCAGAAATAAGATGCCAGATAATGCAACAAGTAAAAAATAATCTCATTTCGTTAAAGATAGATATGTCAATAAGATTTCAAAAATCAGTGTTGAGGATTAATGCCCAATTTATTATGGATGATAAGATAGAAATTCTAACTTTAGGGATGTTAGAAATTATAAAGGCGTACACAGTATCTAATTTAAAGGAAGAAATTGAAAATTTATTAAAAAAGTATAAAGTATGTTAGAGCCAAAAATAGATATCACCGTTGACAATAGTGCGAATATGATTAAAACTGTTGAAATGATAGCTGAGGAACAGCTCATTATTCTCGCAGCAAAATGACAGCGTTACTTCTATATAGGCCTACAAAAAAACGAATCGAATAATTGCGCTATTCGTATTCGTACGAATAATTAAATCATTATTCGTTTCGATTCGATTCGAAATTTTTCTATTTTGCAAAAAAAATTTTACAGATGTTTAAAGATGACACTTTTAAGGATTCTCTAAACTAATTGTCATTTTTGCATATAAAATATAACAAAATTTTAGAAAGTATTTCATTATAGATTTTATTTATTAAAAATACTTTAGTAGCATAAATTTCCTTTAATTATTAATATAATTTTTAGAGGTGATTATGACAATGTAATAGAGGATGAAGATATTATAATGCACTATCTGAATTAGGTTGTCTTTAAAATTTGCCAAAAATAAGGTTACTAAATGGGAAAAGAATTTTCCTAATCAAATAATAAGAACTAGTCAAAAAAATTTAGTTTTATATCTGCCAGGAGCTCGAGAATATGGGAAAGAGGCACACTCTATAAAAATGTTTTGACTTGTTCATAACATCAAAAATGATTAAAGAGAAACAATCAAAATAAAATAATTATATTTTACTTTGAAGCTTTTCCTTTTCTTCCTTTAACTTTTTCAGCAAATATAACTTGTTATGATTTGATATTTGATAATAGGAAATAAAATAAAACGAAATGATATCCACTAGGAAAATTTAATTACTTCTTTTTATTTTACTTGCAATAAAATATTTGCGAATAATTACGAATATTTATATATAAATAATTTCGAATAATTTTCCTCATTGTTCATTGTGTTATTCGTATTCGTAAAATACGAATCGAATATCAAATAACAAATAATTCGTTTTAGGCCTACTTCTATACATGATAGTGATTCGTCTGAGGAGTACCTTAAATATGATCAAATTCAAGATGTTTATGATAACTAAAATTTTCAACACAATGATGAAGAACCAGTAAATGATGATATGGAAAATATATTAAGTGTGTTGTTGTAACCATATAATTCAATTAGGAGTTAATGATTTTATAAAAAATTTCCTAAGAGCGACCTCGAAATATGATCAATTCTTAAATTGTCAGAAAGATCAATATATTCCTCAGCTATCATTTCAATAGTTTTAACCATATTCGCACCATTGTCAACGGTGATACTGTATATTTGACTCAAACATATTTTATACCTTTTTAATAAATTTTCAATTTCTTCCTTTAAATTAGATGCCGTGTGCTTTACAATTTCTAGCATTTTTAAAGTTCGAATTCCTATCTTATCATCCTTAATAAATTGGGCATTAATCCCCAACACTGATTTTTAATCTTATTGTCATATTTATCTTCAATGAAATGAGCTAATTTTTTACTTGTTGCATTATATGATTATAAATGTTTACCTATTTGCGTCAAAAAAAGTTTAAAAATAACGATTATAACAATTTTCACTTTTTTTAAGGCACATCTTCATTGAAATTTTAATTTAAAATTTTTATAATATATATATTTTTGTCAAAAAAATTTAAAAAAGTTAAATAATAATTATGACAATTTTCACTTCTATGGTACATCTTCTTTGAAATTTTAATTTTACATGTTAAAAATATAAATTTTAACCCATTTGCATCAAAAATAAATAAATAACGATTATAACAATTGTCACTTTTTTATAGTACATCTTTATTAAAATTTTAGTTTAACATGTTTACAATAAATATCCTTACACTTTTTCATCAAAAAAATTTAAAGGAATTAAATATTAACGATTTTGACAATTGTTACTTTTCTATGGTACATCTTCACTGAAATTTTAAATTTGCATGTTAATTATAAGTTTTAATCCATTAGCGTCAAAAAAATTAAATAATAAAGATTATGACAATCGTCACTTTTCTGTGGTACACATTATCATTGAAATTTTAAATTCAATGTTAATAATATAAATTTTCATTTGCGTCGAAAAAATTCAAAAAAGTTAAAAAAAATAACGATTATAACATTATCACTATATTTTAAATGAGATAATATATATTTAAAAAATTAACTTTTGGAGATTAAAAATAAATACACTTAATAATTCGTTAAAGTTTCTTTTTTTGAATAAAAAATATTAATTTTTTATAATATTGATTCAAAGATAGATAGATAATCAAATCAAGTTAAATATCGATATCGGATTGTCTCGGTAGTAATATCGGATTGGAAAAAAAATTCATGGATCGGCACAGCCCTCTTTTTTCAAATATATTTTAGTATTTTATATAATTCTAATTAGAAATCTGCAAATTTAATTTACTCGGCTGGGGCTAAAAAATTTAGGTCTACGCTTGGCTACTGTTTTTATAAATGGAATTATGAAATATAATTACTACCCTAAATATTTATTGCATTCTCTATTTTTATATTATGCATTAAATTTAAATATTCAGCAATTATCTAACAATTTCATGTTGTACGTCTATTTTACTTATTACACATATAGAATATGACATGAAAACAAAATATTTCCCTCCTGATTTTTTTAAAAACTTTTCGTTTTTTTTAAAATTGGGATACTATATTTAATCAGGCAAAAGAGAAAAATAGGAAGCAAATATAATATTTTTTGAGTTACGGGCCAGGCCTTTATTGATTATGTTATGGACCGCCCAACATAGGCCTCTGATTGGATGAATAACTTGATTAAAAATAAAATATTTTAGGCGTTTAAAATATAATTACTATTCAAAATAAGTATTTTTGAAAATGTAGCCTTTCCTCGTCACCTCGAACAATATAACTCATGCTACATATCACATTTTAAATAAATTTTAATGCAAATAATTTTTATTTTATGCAAATTTTAAAATACATTGAATTTAAAAATTTTCCAATTTTTACATCTATGATTTTTATTTATTTTTTGATAAAAATAGAGATAGGTGGTAATATATCGAAATGAATCCATAAATTATTATTTAGATCCTTGCCTATATACCCCGTTCTTAATGGGTTAGTAAGAGTTCCCAATTTAAAAAAATAAGGATATAACTGATGAGCTGTATATCCTGGGGTGGGCAGTATAGTGACTATTTGTATTTAAATACCTTTTTGTATTTGAATAATTTAGAGAGGATTAGGTATTTTTATTTTAGCTGCTAAAATTAAAAAATATCCTGCATTTATTACGATTTGAAATAAATACAAGAGAAAAATTTAAAATCTTATTTGTTTCATTCTATTTTATTAAAATGAGAAATATTCATATTTAAATCTGAAGAAAAATAAATTTGATTGAAGATGATATGCAATTAGAAGATAGAGATTTTAGTTCCGCCTATAAGATTGTTTCTAATATATTTTTAGCAGAATAATATCTAAATTTTTTCTAACCTTATTAGATGGGGGGGGGGGGAGGGAGGGGGGCTTAAACATATCTTTATAATAAAATAAAGGCCTAATTAATTATCTGAAGTTGGTTCATATTTGCTTCTAAAATAAAAATACCTGTATATTTTTTGATAAAATAAATTATTATATTTGCATAACTTTTAGAAAATAATTAATAAAATATCTTTAAGTAAAAAAAATTATTATTGCTACTATACAAAACTATTTCTGAAAATTATTCGTGTATTTGTATTTTTATACTATTTTAGAAAATTTTTGTAGGTATTTAGCATTTAAATTTAAAAAAGAATTTGTATTTTTGTACTATTACTTTTTTGGAGTGTATTTATATTTATATTCAAATATATTTTGAAAATTTGTTCAACCCTGCGTATCTGTTATAATTTTCTAAGAAACTTAAATGATAAAAACCCGATTCAGACCCTTTCCCTGATAATTTTTTACATGGCTAATAAAAATAAAAGGCATTTCTCTTAAAAATATTCGGAAGGACTCTATGTGTCAGTAATTGGATTTATTTTTTATTATTTAATGATAATGTTTAGGTTTGTATTCGCATAAGAATTTTTTGGATCGATTTAAATTTTGATATCTCTAAAAGTTTCAATTCTTCAAAAAAAATAGTTATATGAAATAAGAAAGGACACGGATGGATATAAAATAAGAAACAGGTTAAAAAATAATTTAAAAAATTACTATATATTTTTATAATCATTGTAAATCAAATGGGATACATTGATGGGCAAATAAGACATTAATATTATTATAATGAATAGTTATGTATAAATAAAACAATATACCCAAACAGCGACACGCGTTAAGTCTATAGTCATTTTTTGATGTTCCAACGTAAAAGTAGTGTTGAGATGTTTATTACACAGTATTTCGTGTTGAATTTGGGCCCTCAGAGCACGAGCGAATCTTGGGCAGCGCTTATAAGCCAAACAACGATCCCCAAAATATACCTTGGCTTGCTTATAAGTTTGGCATCTATTTTAAAAAAGAAGGGCGAGAAAAGGAATATTGTATATTATGTATTAAGGAAAATAAAATTCAATTGATGACTATCTAATTTAATACATTAATAGACCAGGTCAGTCCTGGATAACATTTCATATTTTTTAGAGATAAATTCTAATATTAAAGTCATGCGATGTTAAATAAGTCAAATAACTAACTTGAAGTTTTTTATTATTTTTAGAGTGCTGAAGCGTAAAGGTTAGAAATATTTCCAAGCATAGCTGGCCTGGTCAAATACTTTAAACTCAATTAAAGCACAGAGCTATAAAAATATAGTTCGAGATGAGAATTATATAAATTGAGGTTATAATAAAAAACATGTTGAGATAATTCCATATCAATATCAAATTAATATTTTTATAGATTAACCTTTTTAATTTTGTTAAAATTTTGGATATTAAGAGAATATAGAAGGCAGCGAATCTATACCTCCTAGTACTAATAGTTCCTGGGATAGGTGGCATAAGAAAAATTTATACCTTTAATATGCTGTTCCGCAAATTTATAGTGTAAAGGTATAAGTATATGATCTAAGGTGTTTATAAGTGCCTTAATCTTTTCAATGTAACATCATTGTCATTGCAGCTACTTTTACATGCTATAATAAAAAAAATGCATTCTGATTGAACGCCAAAAATTTTATGGTCAAACATTGATAAAATTTTTCATATTTTTGTATTGCCCTGCTGAAAAATCAGAAAAATAATCATTTTTTTCTTGAAGTACGTATGTATTTTAAAAAATTTAACAAATGTGATTGGAGTAAATAGAATGAAACATCTTAATGATTTAAGGATTCCGATTACCACAAAGATCATGTGCTTTATTTGATCTCCTATTTTATAATAAATTGCGAACTGGTATAACATAACTTGTCAAGCAGTCCAATGTTGTTGTTTTTTTTTGGGGGGGGGGGCGGGGGCGAAGAGTCATAAATAATTAGTTTATGATTATTTTTTAAACTATTTTTAAATTTAATGTGAAATGAATTTTGCAAATAAAATTACTAAATTCGTCTGAAAATTGAGTTAAAAATAGCCTCTTGTTCTAACCACCGAAACCCACTTTTTATCATTTTTATAAATAATTTTTTGATGTATTCTTTTAAAGGTGTAACAAGATACTCGCTACAGTCATCAAAATAAGAAAAAGCGGAACTGCAAATAATTCTGTTTATAATATATCTATAAGTTAATATATCGTCATCATTTTTAATATCTTTAGTCAGCGTTGTTAATTCAGAGTTGAATTTCATTCGTTTAATATTCTGGTGTATGCTACAAACGCTACATAATGTGTTCCGCTAGCTTCAGCCAATATACAGTTTTTGGGACTTAAATTAGCAAATTTTGAAAATTTCATTGGCCAAAAAAAATTATTATTTTTCTGATTGTTCAGCAGCGCGGTACAAAAATAGAAATTTTTTTTATAAATGTTTGACCATGACATGGATTTTGGTGTTCAATCAATATGATATTAATTTTACTATAACATATGGCAAAAGTGGCTGCAATGGTATAGATGTTACAGTAAAAATACTTTTCCCTATGCACTTTCAAAAACCTTATTTAGATCAAATACTTAGATCTTCAATTCTATAAATATGCGGAAGGGCATATTAAAGGTATAAATTTTTCCTATGTCACCATACCCGAGTATAAAGCAGAAGAAATAAATCAAAGAGAGAGATTTAGTAAATTATAAAATTCATTTAGTATTTTCAATCCGTTAAGCTGAATACTAAAATTAATTCTAGACGTTCATTATGGAGAGTATAGTAAATTTACGAGAGAATATGTTACTTGATGAAATTGTATGTATCGCGATTGGTGGTTAAGATTTGTTTAAGTGGATATAAACACTAACGTCATGGGGGGAACACGAGCCCTCTGAATAAAAAATACCTTAAAAGGTCATTTTTAATATTCTTAAAAAAAGGTAATTTCTAAAAAGTAAAACGGATCTTCTTTTTATACCAAAATATAATACTTTAAACGACGGACGAATTTAAATTTATTAAGATGATTATCAAGGCTCCCGAAAAACTTAATTTAACGAAAGGCAGAAGATATACCTATTATATTTATAAAATTAATAAAATAATTTTTCGAAAATTAAATGTTATTTATAAATATAAGATTATAATAGCAAAAACCAGAAAATATTGCTAAATAATCTCAATGGCAAATTTGTTCTTTTTTTAACAAAAATGCCTTATTTTATAAGAAAGTACTCTTTTTTTTAAAAAATTAATCTTTTAATCGTAATAACTAAAACTCATAGCTGCCCTAATTTTAATTTTTTTACAAATAGATATAATGTAAGTGAATAATAAAATTATAAATATGAAGAGATTCAGGCAGTGAAACACATGAAACTTTCAGGTTCAAAATAACTTAAACATAAATCATAATAATATTAATTTTAAAAATATATTTAATATTTATTGAAAGGTCTTTATTAGAACTACAAAACGACACCTAATTTTTATTTTTAACATTATTAATTTTTGGCTTATCTTAATTTTTAAAAATCGTATTTTTCGAAAAGGGGTAGTTTTGGGCATTTTTAACTATTGATATCACAGGAACTATTAGTACTAGGAGACTAAAATTTTTGATTTGATGCCTTCTAATAATTTTTCTCAGTATACAAAGTTTTATCATAATTAAAAGGGTCGTTCTGTGAAATTAACAATGATATGGAATTAATTACCCGTTGGTGACTAAAATAAAATGTAACTTTTTTGGATTATTCCCAACTTTGAAACATAAAAATTATGTAATATAGTAATTGAATAAAAATTATTAAATAAAACTAATAGTGATTATGATATATAAAACCAAAGCAAAAAAAGGGAGCCCAAAGGAAATGGAAAAAGTATATATTTTGTACTTAGAATCGATATCTGTCTGAAAATAGCCCCTGTAAAATAGCAAGAGTCGGTATATGCTAATCAAGTAGTTCAAAGAAATGTAATCTTCACCCGTGCCTAACTTAGGTCGTTGACTGGAGTCACAAATGAACAAATGATTGAGTAGTAAAGCCCTGACGCTTTTGGCTATGCGAGATCGTAATTTGTGGAAGCCTAAGCGAGTTATAATGGCATTTTGATAGTGTATTTTGGATTGATTTTCGCTTAGTTCTACGCTTTCAAGACCGTCAACAATTCCATTTTCTTTATTGCCGTTGCTTCGAACATAATTTTGAGTTCCTTTATTTTTTTCTTGTTCATTATCCATCTTCGAGACTGTATTATTATCACAATCTTTAATAAATATCGTAGAGATAAATGGATAGGCCAATCCGTCATACTTATCGATCATATCCGATTTTATAAACGGTTCTTCTTCATGTGTACTATTATAATTTAAATCGCATTTATATATGGGCTCTAAAACGGCCCCGCATCCTATCAAACACTTTTCGACTATACAGAGACATCTTCTCAAAACCTCCTTATGGCAAGTGTTCTGATGAGAAGAGCTGTTCTTATGAGATGACGTAACCCAATGATCTATGTAGGCTAAACAAGGTGATAAGAAATGGTCCAATAGAGAGCGGGTTAGTTCCAAGCCTTGTGGAGAAGGCTCGTGCCAATCTAATTTAACCTTAATATTTTATTATTATATAAAAAATTGGTTGATGCAATTCGTTGGATTTACATGAGAAAACTTCTATACATATATTACAAAATATAACACCTTCATATCTACACAATAATTTAACAAAAATGAATTGAATATTCAATTTTTTAACATTATATTCTAAAGAGTAAAAACCATGGATGTTCCTTATATAGGATAGGGTCTATTGTTCATTTTTGAGATAAATCGGATAGTTTTTAAAATAATAGCGTAAAAATTTATTTTTTATAAAAATGAGCGCGAGTAAAGTAACAATGATTCATTGTTATTCCTCTTTTACATTCTATAAATATTTTAATTTTCTCCATAAAAATAAAGAAAATTTAGACAAAGGTATAAGGTATAATATACTGCAATGTCCTTATCCCCTGTAGGGTTAAAATAAAAATTTAGAAAATATCTACAATATGAATATCGGATTGGTAAAAAAAATGCAAATTGAACAGCCATAGTAAAAACGTCATAATTTATTTTAGTTTGTCCAAAATATAATCTAAAATTTAAATTTATAGATATTAATAATTGAATTTGGCAAGCTTAATATATCTACAAACGTAAAGAAAAATATATATAAAAAGTCTAAGAGGTATGATATTTAAATGCAAGGTTTCCAGGTCAAAATTTTTGAAATGAGGGAGAAAACTTTACTATATATAAAAAAAATGGGCTGCGCCTCCATACTCCCTTTTGCTGGTCCTGATGTTCTGTCTGAATCCAATTCAGGTTAAAAAATCTAAAAACAAATACATTAAGTTAAAATAAAATTTATCGAATTATGTAACTAATATCATCTTGATGTTATGCAAAAAGTAAATATATTAATGATTCAATCAATTATCGCGGTTAAATATTAAATAATATACATAGAGTATATGAAGCATTAGAGTGAAATATAGAAAACATGACACATATGCGTTTATTGTTGTCATTGAAAAATTGCACCTATTTTCCTTTCACTTTCAAATATTCGAAATAGTAAAAGTTTGTCAAATCAAATATTATGTTAAATAGATTATCTAAATCAATAATTGAGATTATAAAAGGCTTATTATCAAGTGTGACAATATTCAGATCTTTATAAAAGGGATTTTTAGGATCATATTTTAATTCGATGTTAACTTCTGTACCTTGGTCTTTATATAAATCTTTAATTTGGAACTTAACATGTGTCTTTTCATTTCCAAAAAATGTAAATTCTAATCCGATTGATATATCTGAGAAAAAATTTTAAATTAATAAATTATCTTTTTATTACCAATCGTTATTGGTATGTCAGTCGGAACTTTAAATTTTTTAAAGAACATAGGCGGCAAAACAAAAGTTCTAACATTAGAACCCAAGTAATTTGATTTTTTTATTCATGTTTTTTGGAAACTTATAGTCCCAATTAGTGATCTGCATAGGGCTTAATTTTTTAAGCCCGGCACGGTCTAAATTTTTTTTAAAAAATTTGTCCTGCCCGGCCCGATCCCGAATGAAATTTTTTTATTTGTCCCGAAAAACTCGACCCGAAATAAAAATAAAGATTATTTGTCTGCCCAGCTAGAATTTATTTAAATATAAAAAAAATTTAAATATTTATTGATTGTAAAAAAATATTCTACAATAAAAAGTAATAGCGCCTTTTTTCTAACAATAATATTAAAATATAATAATATGTTTCACAATATTTAAGCCCGATTCAGCCCGGCCCAAATTTTTAAAAAAATATTAGGCCAGACCTAGCTCGAACCGAAATTATTTTTAAAAAATAGGCCTGGCTCGAAACTCGTCGGTGATTTGCAGATCTCTAGTCCCAATTAGAGATCAGCAAAAGTAGGCCCGGCCCGAAACCCGTTAGGGCCGGGTTGAGCATTGGAATTTTTTTTAAACATATTTAGATTTATCAATTTTATATTGAATTTTTTATGTAAAATAAAAATTTTTATTTATAGAACTAGACGCTTTATAACATATGTCTTTTATTTTAGTAACTATAAAAATTAATTTTATTTAAAAAAAATCGTTTTTTTAAAAAAAATAGTTCGAGCTGGGTCAGGAAAACTTAGTTAAAAAAATTTTCGGGTCGGGCCAGGCTTGAAAAATTAAGCCCGATGCAGATCACTCCCAATACCATTTTTATCGAGTTTTTATATTTTTATTATTAATGTATTTTTTTTAAATTATAAAATTGATAAATTATAATATAAAAATATATTCATTGTTTCATTACCATGTCAGAAATTGGACAAAAAAATACTCCAATTTCGTTCTGCTTATTCAACATAAATATTATTATTGTATCTAGCAATAAGTGTCCTGACTATTGACCCATAAAATTTTTCGTCGATTTTAAGGACTAATAAGGAATACAATTTCTTCAAGATTTTCTCCATGTTTATTATTACAGTATCCACTATAGTTGTATATTTGTCATTGTGATAACACTTCTTACATGAAAAACAAGGCAGAAATATGTCCATCCACGTCATTTTCAAAAAAATTTTTTAAATTAATCAAATTTTTTAAAATCCGACCAATTGATGGGACCGAGGTTAATAATCAACGTTTTATTGAAAAATTGAATTCCTAGTAAAGTTTCATTATGATTGTTTCTGCAATTATAATAAATTGATCCTGTTTTTGCAGGAATTATTTCAAGTATGCTAAAAACAAGGCTACGGTAAGAGTTTTCGTTACATTGCCTTAATTCGTACAAATAATTTGGTGTTTTTCATAATTATTGAGTCATTATCAGCACACAATGCTGAAATATTATTCATTTTAAATCTCAATTTTGCAAGTTATTTATTTGCTATATCTTCATCTTTTGAAGTTTCCGTTTTGGAGGAAAAGAAATTTAGCTATTAAACATATGTCATTTTTTGGAAAATATCTAACTATTTGGGAACGTTTTGATATTTCATTTCCCTTATTAGATGCATTTTTAGGGATTGAAAAGGATTTTAATCTTTTAGATCTTTTGTAATCATGTTTTTAGATTTCGGTTCTAACATTTGATTTTGCTGGCTCATGTGAAAAATAATATGCACTTTAACGATCAATATGAGTGAATGAAACTAAAAATTCGAAATAAGTGTAAATTATAAAGTATTAGGGAAGATTTTTAAAAAATGGTAAATAAATTAAGCAATTCTCGGTGGGAGAGATTGCATTTTTCAAAAAACAAATGTTGGTGGAGAGGAGATATTAAAAAATTGGGGAGAATTTTTTTTATTGAGGGAGATTTCATTTTTATGAAAAAATTTGGAGGGTTTCCCCAGCTATTGGTGAAAGTGTGCATTTAAATTTATTCTTATTATTGATCTGTATTTATGCGAAAATTGAAATATCCCTAAATAACAATGTAATTAGTGTTTTAAACGGCTAGCTCAATATTTAATCTTTACTTAAGCCTGTAGATTTTGATCATAGATAGCATTGGGGGAGATCTATTAGCGAAATCTCGACTAGGGTAGTATTTTACTAGATAAAATATTGAGTGAGCCGTTTTAAAAATCGGTTCAAATCGAGTCGTTTAACCAACACTAAATATATTACTTCGTTATGTTTATACAACTTTCCCCAATATTGAAACGGATTGTGCAATTTTTTATTCATAGTATAAGTCTTCCATTCTTGAGGGTTAAGACTCTTGTAATCCTGAATGTAAATTTTGGTCAGTGAACTCATTAAATTGGATAAACATTCCCCCAGAATCTCAAAAACTTCTATTCTAGGGGTTAAGAAAGGATGGTTATTGAGGTTTTCACTTTCAGATGAAGCAGAAGAAATGATCGATTCAACCTTTTAGATAAAAATTATGTATAATTAAATTGTTCAATTATTCTGAAATCATTCTTAATTTTGTTAGAAAAATTAAATATTCTGGTAGCTATATAATATCCTAGTATGCCTGAAGTCAAAATTCGATATAATCAACTACAATGTTTGTAAAAAATCTTCAAAATTTTTGAACAAAAATCTTTGTAGATTTTTTATAAAGAAGTTTTTAATAATATTTCACTTAAAAATGCCAAAATCTATGGTAATTTTCATGCATATAAAATCTTTCGAAAATGACAAATTTAAAAAAAAATCTTTTGAAGAATTTTTTCGTACTCTGATCAAATATTAAATATTTAAAAGATAATATATAAAAGAATTAAAACATTTAGATATAGAGGAAACTAAGAAATTTGTAAAATCTGATTCCTTTAAATAAGTCAAGTTCTTAATTTTTTTTCAATTATAATATAAATTACCTTTAAGCCAGCTTTTAGAAACCTCCATAAATCTTGTGCAAGAACAATAAGAACTTTGGTCCCCGTGTTTCTGAGACTAGAGGCCAGTATCTGGGAGTACCAAAGAAGTTCGGGCTCATCCATTTGGGGATTTTCGTTAGATTGATTTTGTAAATTTTGCCTTTCGATCAAACATTGTGTTAAGCGACCAGCAAAAAAGGGTAAAATAATAGGTAAGCTGATAGATGGATCAGCTATGCAAAGTCCCAAACAAAGATCCGATATTGCATCTCGAGCCGGTTTAGATGAGTACAAGATATCTGTTTTTTAAAAGAATAGTAAATATTATTTCTTTCTTCTTATATATTATAAAAAAAATAGAAATTTAACATTATTTTAACTTTTCATTCTGTCTAAGGAATAATGAACAGCGGATTCGTATATTTCAGGAGAACATTGTCTTAAAACCGTTTCCAAAGCACCTTAAAATAAATTTTTATCCTTCGTAAGATATATCAAAAAAGTTTAAATTGTATAATAATTAGAATTCTTTAAAATATTCCATCAGATGTCAAAATTCAATTAAGACTAATAGTAATACTTATGTATATTATAATTAGTATTTCATTAGAGATTTTCTTTAGTTAATTTCATAAAATGCTGATTTTTTTAAAAAAAAATTGTTAACTAAGTAATTTTAATACTAATAAAATGTAGAGTAATTTTAGACATTATAATAAAAGTTTGATCTGTCCCCACAATATTTGCTTTACAGATAAAAAATAAATCTGGAAATTTACTATATATAAGATTTTAAAAAATGGGATTTTTTTATCAAAATTCATAACATTTCAGTGAATACCATCTTCATTGACGTCAGAAAAGAGGAGCAAAGGGGTCTTGTCACCTCTAAAATATTTTTATTTTTTTAGAACTCATATTTAAAAATTTGGGTGCAAAACTCATTTTTATAAGAATTAGTGATCTGCATCGGGCCTAATTTTTTGGTTAATCTTAGATATAACATGGTGTGATATTGAACGAACTTAATTTTGATATGATCGAGGTAACACTTGTTTATTTATAATATTTAATTTTATAAATAGTGATTTTCGAAGAGAAACTCTGGTCTAGTCGGATGAGTGCGTGTATCTCAATCCGAAGATTCTGGGTTCGAATCCCGTAAGTATCATGATTTTTTCTGAAGCCAACTTCTTACATTCGCTTAATTTTTCAAGCTCAGCCTGGCCCGAAATTTAAATGTTAGACTCAGCCCAATCCAGGAGGATTTTTTTATATTTATCCCAAATAAAACCGACTCAAAATTATAATTATTTGTATGCCAGGCCCGGCCCGAAATTATTTAAATATAGAAAAATAAATATATTTTCAATTGTAAGAATAATATTTTATAAATAAAATATATTAACGCCTTGTTTCTCAAAAAGATATCATTTATTCCACAAAATTGAATATTAGATTTAAAAATTTAAACTTACCTCAGTTTTTTTAAAAATATGTCCCCCGAAGCCTATTCCAGCCGGGTTTTGTGGATCCCTAATGAGAACCCTATAATTAAGAAACTTAGCTTTTAACCCCTAAATAAAAAATCGTGACCCCTCTGACCTTCTTAATATGCACAAAAATAAACTGCTCTTATTTGGCGATATGGCTTGCAATGTAATATATAATATAATATACTCATAATGGCAAAGCTTAAAGATGTTTCATCGAGGCTTTTGAATGGTAGTTGTAGACTCCCATTGAACCCTTTGCAATCGTCCCGACTATTATATCCGGACCCCCCGTTATCCATGCAGGAGTTATCCATGGAATCCGCAAGATTGAAACATTTATCCAACAGGTTTATAATAAATTCTTTAAAGAAAGGCCCAGCCTCTAGACTTATTCGTATTAGATCGTTGTTTGAAGTTTTAGAAAGAATGGGAGTTTCTTTTTTAACGAATAATACAGGAATTTGATCACTAATAGGTTTATTGGCTAAGGCCTTTATAGATTTTAAAGATTTAGGGTTTTTGTAATCCATGATATCGTTGGAAGAATAATTTATGGCAACAGCTTTTAAAGGAACTTTTTCTGACTTTATAGCCTCATTGGATAATTGAAAATTGTTAGGAAGAGACTTATTGAGATGATCATTTAACCCATTTTGATCATCTACTAAATCATTAATTTGATCATCTATATCGATACTATTATCAGGAATTTGAGCGATCGGTATTAAACTGGTTAAAGCAGAAATAAGAAGCAACGAAGAGGCGCATTTGATGGAATCATTGGCGTCTATGGCTACGAGGGCGAATTTCAAGAGAGCGAAAAGATAGGCGTAATCATTATGCTTTGGTAATAAAATATATTTTAAAAAATGATTGGTTGATCCAAAGTAAACTAGCTTACAATAATATAATTATCTTAAATTGATGGTAACCAATTCTGCTAAAAGGAATCAGATTAATATTGAATTTATGTAAGTAATAATCCGTAAACCTTGGTGATGGATAAATCAACGGACTGATAAAGGTTGGTTGTTAATGGAAGTGCTAGAACCGATGCCACAGCTAAACAAGATCTGAGTCTGTGGGGTTCAAGAACGGTTTCAAAAGCAGAAAAAATTTTGACCATTAGAGGAGGTAGGATAGTTATAGCAGATAAGGATATGAGTGATTTGATTGTTAAGGTTATGTTGCTTTAAGGGGATTTTTAATTTTGTTAGATTTTTAAATATTTCAAAAGAAGTGTCATAAAAACAATGTGAAAGCTGAAACCAAACACGACCAAAAAAATTTCGATCTTTGAAAGGTTTGGAAAAGATACTAAAAAATAATGAAACATCAACCCTTAAGTGATAAGGTGAAAATAATTAAAAGTGGGTGGGGGGGGGAATAGCTTGCCCCTATTTTAAAACTGTAACATCTCATTCAAATTTCTATTAAGTTTTAATATTTTAATTTATTATAAGGTGAGAATTTTTGTGAAGTGTGTAAAAAGCATAATTGTCTGAAATATTATATTTCATGTTTTTTAAAATGTAATTAAAACATTCAATAATAAAAAATTAATTAATATTTAAATATTAGAAAACTAGTTTGCAAATAATATTTTTTTTAAATACACTACCCAAAACCAAAAATAACGCAGGTTTTACATTTGTCTCTTTTACCAATCTTTGCATGCAAAATTTTGCATGTAGTTATAATTTAGCCCAAATGATTTTAATATGGTAATTTAAGGTTAGCTTCAAGATTCCAAAATGATGATTTGATAATTGTTTTTGAATCATTAATTTCGAAGTTATGGTTGTTAAACGGCTTGATTTGAGTCAATTTTTAATACTAACTTTATATTTTAGCCACAAAAATATTTCTTAAGCCTCGAGATTTCGCTAATATATGCCCAAACACTTGTGCTATCTATGATCAAAATCTGTAGGCTTATGTAAAGATAAAATATTAAGTTAGCGATTTATAGAAAATTATTTTAATTCTAAAATAACGCAGTTTTTGAATTTCGTGTTTTAGTCATTGTTAAATATGGTCATGACTAATGTAAAAGGGTAAGCAAGATCGTATCACGAGCATCTGGAAGAACAAGGCTAGACTATTTTCACAACTAAACAACTAAAATTTTAATTTAAAATGTCTCAGGGAATTCCAAATGATTTAATAATCCAAGAGAAAATCTTGATTTATGTGAAGAAGGAATAAATAATTCAGCCAGCCGAAAAACTGAGACAATATTAATGATTTAATTGATCCCATCGAACCTGTTAGTATTGGCCTCAAAGGGAGTCCAAAGGTGACAGAAAACATTCCGAGATAACACAGTTTGCAACTAATTAGAGAAACTCGTGGATCAAATCTTGCTCATTTGACTCAAAAATTGAGAGAAACGACATAAAATATGTTATCTAACTCTATCTACAAAAGAATGATTTTGGGATATAAATTTTCTTAATATTTATACCGTAACTGTACTTTAGTTTAATGATAGGCCAAAGCAAAATCTCTATTAACAATAAACCAAAAGATGACGAAATTATTTTGGAAAGAAATATAAAGATTGGACCTTTACCGAATAGTCAAAAGTTGTTTTTAGCGATGAATCTAAGTTTGTATTGGAATTTGAGAGTATTAGTAATAATGTGATAGGAAGATACTGAAAACCCCAGATCAAAATTGTTATAATGTATTAACATACAGTTTTTATTTATAAACTATTATTTATTTAGTTGAAAATAACATTATGAGTTTTATTCGTGTAATAACTAGGCCTAAAACGAATTATTCGTTATTCGATTTAATTCATTTTTTACGAATATGGATAGCATAATTATTCAATTCGAATCGAATAATGAGAAAGATTATTGGTTAAATAGTAAATTTTCATTATTCGATTCAAACTATTCGAAATTCGTGTTATTCGAAATTATTCATACTATTAGAAATCATTTGTATATATTCGTAATTTTTAGGAAATATTTTATTTTCCGTTAGTAATAGTAAGTAAAAATATAAAGTAATTAATAAATTTTCCTCATGGATTTTTTTAACTTTATTTATTTTTATTTCTTCTTTTTTTATCTTCATAAGAAATAAAACATTAAATTGTTGTATATTTGATAATTTAATTAATTTTTTAAAATATTTAAATTATTATAATTTGTTCGGATAAGGTTACGAAATCATTGGGTTTTATTTCGCTTGTAACTTTAATATGCTAATGACAATTAAGTGGTAACCAAGAAATTACGATCCGGCTCTTTTTGGTATTATTTTCTTATACAAAAATAATATGTGTAGATAAAAGCAATAAATTCAATTTATTATACTCTTGCATTATAATTTTTTTTTGTAAAATTACCGATAATATTTTTTATCAAATATTAGCAAGAAAATGATCGGTTCTAGACTGGATACGAATTTTTGGCATTGTTCGTCGCTCAATTTTGCGTGATTTGGAATGATCGACTCCCATTTGAACACTTTGCGTCTTTCGAAATAAATGCGATCAACAAAACAAACAACGAGTGAATTCACGAATTTCACCAAAATACCTGTCCATTTCCCTTTAAAAATTTTCCAGGTCAGTTAATAATAATTATTTTAAAAAACTAAAAATATTAAATTTCTAAAAAAATTGTATAGAATTAAATTTTCGGTAAATTATACCGAAATTAGATGGATGCAAATAAGATTCGATAGCCGATAGAAGTGTTATCAATTTTGGTTGAACTGTATCTGCTATCGTGCGTTTATCTGTTACTGGTTTTTCGTCGAAGGTTCCTTTGATAGAGTAAACCATCCACTTAGCCGTTTCGTAGATCGGCATTTTGTGAAAATGATCGCTCCTATAGCCAACAGTCATGCCGGAAATGGGAAGGTTCAGATTTGCCAAAAATTTAGTGAAAAATAATTCCACGAAAGTTGGGGGCCAATCGTAACTACCTATATTATTTTCGGCCACTCTAGCAAAAAGTGCTATTAGGTGACGATCCCAAGCCGGAAAATTTTCATAACTACAATAAAAAGCGATAAGATCGCCTAGATAGCCGAGCTTGCTAATTTCAACCCTATTGATATTATTGGCATCTTGAATTTCACTCACTTCGTTTGGTAAAATTTCCGTTTTAAATTCTAATACGCTGCAAAATATAGTTGGGGAAAAGAGTTCCAACATGTGAGTTGCCTAAGAAATTAATAGTTTAAAATATTCTGAATGAAATGTTCTATTTAAAAAAAATTTAAATAAATGTTTGCAATTTGAAGTCACACACACCGAGGGTTTCCCATTCAAAAAAGGCCAAAAAAAAAAGTCATTCAAAAAAGGAAAAGTCAAACAAAAAAGAAAAGGTCCAATCAAAAAAGTAAAAGTGTAAAAAAAGGAAAATTCCCAAAAGGAAAGGAAAAGTGTTAATCACAAAAAGAAAATTCCCATTCAAAAAAGGAAAATCGTTACTTTTTTAAAAAATTATAAAAATTTTTTTCTTGTTTTTAAATTTTTATTATTCCTTCTTATTTTATTTCTAATTTTTTGCAATTTCTTTAAGTTATTTTTAATTTTCTTACTATCTTTTCTCAATTTATTTTTTTTCTTATTTTTGATAATATTTTTGTCTTTTTAAAATAATTTATAAATTTTTCCTGTTATTTTTCTTCACTTCTTCTACTCCATTTTTTAAGTCATTTTTTAATAATTCTTTCCTCTTTTAATCCTATAAAACAATATTTTATCTTTTTATGATTTTTACTCCTCATATTGTAATCTTTTACATACATTTCTAGCTTCAATCTCTTTAAGTCTTTTTTAATCTTTATTTTTCTGATCTTTCTCAATTTTTTTTCTTCTCATTTTTGATCATTCTTTTTTGTAATTATTTTTAATTTTCATTTAATTTTTATTTCTCATTGGTAGACAATTTTTTATTAGAATTTTTTGCACATCAAATTATTTAATTATAATTGCTGAATTAAATTAATTATTTGGTCATAATTTTAAAATTAAATAAGTTTGAACTATAATAGCAAACGATATGTAAATTAATAAAATATAATTATATTAAATTAAATTCTTATTTTTAAAATTTTAATATTTATGTAAGAAGCATTCAAACCAGGGGTTTGAACCGAACCGAACCGCAAAACCGGAATGAACCGTTATGATTTTCTGAACCGTAACCTTAACCGAACCGTTATGAAGAAAATATTAAAAGAGCGAACCAAACCGTTATTAATTTTAAATTATTAACCTAAATTTAAAATTTTAATTTTCCTTGGTGGCATTTTTTAAATTGGTGATTTCTTTTCAAATTAAATATTTCTATATTATCAACATTTTATATCAAATTAAATATTTTAATATTATTAACATTATATATCAAATAATACCAGGTTTGTTGTTTTTTCTTTAAATACTTAATTTATGAGAGATTAGACAATTTATCTGTTAATTAGATAAGATATCTTAAAATCAGACATAATTATTCTTGGCTAAATTAACAAATTTATATATAAGATATTAATAAGCTTTTAGAATAATACCTGCTAATAATTAGGAAAAAATTATATAATTCTATTATTAATAAATAACGAAATTAAGTACCTTTTACATTCATTTTTATATTATATGGTTTATTTTTTATCTCATTATAAAAACTTGGATCATAGAATTTAAATGACAATAAATAAAATAGTCAGCAATAATCATTAATAATTTTTTATTTATAATCATTGTTTTTTTAAATTAAGAATTCTAATATTATAAATTATTTATCATTATAATATGTTATTTAGCATTTACCATTATCATATATGCAAAATAAAAAAATATGATTAAAGAATGGCATTTGTAATAAATATTTTTCTAAATCTGTATTTTTAAATAATAAAAATCTAAATAAATCTTCTGTTTAAATAAGTTAATTAACATTGCATTAAATTATTTTTATACTTTTATTTATTTATTAATGTGTTTTATATTTAAATAAACATACAGTGAATTAAAAGTAGGAATTACATTTTGATGTTAAAAATATAAATACTATAGTTTAACTTAAATTACCTATTCTGTCATATTATATTAACATCTAATAGAAATAAAGTGCTGACCAATTTTTATATAATATTGTTTTACAATAATTTCTTATTAATTGATATATTCAAAAAAAGTTTATCTTAGTTTATATAGAATATATCAGAGTGGGTAATTTGAATTAAACTATACTAGTTATATTTAGTTTAACATCAAAATGTAATTCCTATTTTTAAATGTAAGTCTATTTAATATAAAACACAAATAAATAAAAGTATAAAATAATTAAATGCAATGTTAGTTAACTTATTTAAACTGAAGATTTATAGTAAGATTTTTATTATTTAAATATACAGATTTAGAAAAATATTCATTACAAATGCCATTCTTTAATCATATTTTTTTTTATTTTGCATATATGATAATGGTAAATGCTAACTAACATATTATTTTAATAATAAATATTAGAATTCCGAATTTAAAAAAAAATATGATTTTTATAAATAAAAAATAATTATATCATTAAAATATTTATTGCCGACCATTTTATTTATTGTCATTTAAATTCTATAATCCAGGTTATTTAAAAAAATAAAAATGAAGGTAAAATTGTTTCTATTAAGCTTTTTTATTTATTCTATTTATATAATAAAATATTTTCATTTATCATCATATAACTTTTTAGTTATCTATTAAATGGTTCGGGAAAAGTCAAATCCTGTGCGTTCCTAATTTAAATTAGATATCATAAAAAATCAATCTATTTGTAAAATAGAAGATTGTGGTAAGGTCTTAACTGGGGACCATGCTGCAAATCTTGAACGACATATAGAAAGATTCCACAATAGGGAATTCAAATTATTAAGAAAAAAGAAAGAAAATTTGACTATTAAAAAAATTCAAATAACGAAAACTGCAAACCAGTATAATACAATCCAAGATGCTTTAAGTCCAACACTACTACAATACAAATCAATATAAATAAAGAAACTTTAATCCGCTCCTGCACCGAGCTAAAATCAATTGACGACAAAGCATTTCGAAATATTATAGATCCAATAATTATAGGATTGGGTGGAAATTTAACTATCAATTCGGAAAATATACGCAATAATATTAAAAAAATGGCGTTAGATTTTTCGGAAAATATAAAAAGGAAGTATATCAAAAACTTATTTCGTTAAAATTAGATATAGCAACTAGATATGATAGGGATCAATATTCAATTTATAAATAACGGAAAAATAAAATAGAGGACTCTATGCATGAAAGTGATTAAAGAACGACACACATCAGAATATCTTAAAAAAATTATTCTAGATGTACTAAAAGAATATGAAATAAAAATTGAGCAGATTTACACAATAACCACCGATAATGCAGCAAATATGATTAAGTTAATTAAGCTATTAATACTACACGATGAAGAAGATGATGACCTTAACGATTATTTAATTAATGATGATTTAAATAATAATGATATAGATAATGATGATTTAAATAATAATGATATAATTCATGATGAAAATAAAGAACCTTTTAATATTGAAAATATTAATCTTGCATCAAATGCCAGATCCATATTAATAGGTATTAGATGTGCTTCACATACATTTCAATTAGCAATTAATGATTGCATTAAAAATTCAAATGAAATTGTCATTATAAATAAAGCAAGAAACATCTGCAAAAAATAAGAAATCAGACAACAATGGCTATTCTCTCAAAATTAAATTTGAAAAAACTACTAATAGATTGTTGCACAAGATGAAACTCTATCTATTTAATGATGGAGAGATTACTAGAGTTAAAAAGCTTTTGTCAAGAAATATCGCTCCAAAGCGATCGCGAAAAATGTTAATCAGAGAATGAATGGAAAATAATTAGTGACATATTAAAAGCTTTATATCCAGCTTATGTTTTGACAAAATATTTACAAAGTGAACAATTGACAATGGGCGATTTTTATGCTGCGTGGATCAAATGTCTCATGCAAACGAGTAAAGTAGACACTCCATTTGCCAGACTTTAAGTTTCTACGATGAAAGCACGAGAAATATATTTCAAAAACGAAGTTTTTTGCTCTGCTATTTATCTCGACCCTAGATATAATGTATTCTTAACTTTTGAAGAAAGAGAGATCGCCAGAAAACATCTTTGTAAAACTTGGAACTTGATACAAAATCTAAATAATCAGAATATTGAAATTCTAAATACTATGCCTACGTGTTCGTATTCGAAGGTTAATTTAGATGATGATTTTGAAGATTTATTAAAGTCGCATGAAAGTCTTAATAAGAATAATTCTCAGGTCATCGAAAATTATAATAAATGTATAGAAATAGAATATATAATTCGGTCATTTGATAATATAGAGAGATTAGAAAAAGATACTAATCTTTTGAATTATTGGGAAAATGTAAAGAATAGTATGCCAGAACTTTATAAGTTAGCTATAACTGTGCTAGCAGTTCCAGCTACGCAGGTCTCCGTAGAAAGAGCATTTTCAAGCCTCAAGTTTATACTCTCTGCGCAGAGAACTAAATTAAATCCTGAAATATTAGAAAATATTTTAGTTATCCGTTCGAATTTTCTTTTTAAACCTAAATAGTATAGTATACATATTATTTTATTCATTATTGTATTTACGCATGTTTGTTTTTATCTTATTTATTTTTGAAATAAAAAAAAACTAATTTGTCTAATTTATATTTCCTAAAAAATATCTATTAGATTATCATGGATAAATTAAATAAGAAATTATAAACTAAAAAGATTTTTCTCTAAAATTAATATGTACATGGTTAATGATTAATTTTTTTTTAAATTAAATTTATAAAAACCGGAACAAACCGAAAAGAACCGTTATAAATTATAAACCGAACCGATATGATTTTTTTTAAAAAACCGAAATGGAACAAAACCTTTATAAAATTTTAAACTAAAAACCGGAACGAACCGAACCGTTATACTAAACGGTTCGAAACCCTGATTCAAACTTTTGGGCAAGTAAATAATTTTTTGTAATTATTTTTAACTAGACAAAAAAGTATGCTCTAAAGAATAATAAAGAAAATTGCGAAAGTATTAGAAAAATCATATAAAATTATAATTTTTGTTTAAATATTTTACAAAAATACGATTTTCAATGGGAAATTTTTTTTTTGATAAAAACTATTCCTTTTTTGATTGACACTTTTCCTTTTTTGATTGACACTTTTCCTTTTTTGTTTGACACTTTCCTTTTTTGATTGAACCTTTTCCTTTTTTGTTTGACACTTTTCCTTTTTTGATCGGACTTTTTCCAAAGCATTTTTTCATTTTTGATTGACACTTTTCCTTTTTTGATTGAACCTTTTCCTTTTATGATTCACCCTGATCGAACTTTTTCCTTTTATGATTGAAACTTTTCCTTTTATGATTGAAACTTTTTCTTTTTTGATTGGGTTTGGGACTTTTCCTTTTTTGAATGGAAAACCCTGTGATTGATACAATATAACTTTATAATTGCAGTTAATATAAAAACTAGATATTAAGTATTAACTATAATATTTTAACGCATGTTTTACCTGTTCTAACCTCTTGCCATCGAAAGGTGATAGGTAAGGAAAATTAAGCTTTTGCCTTAAAATTGACCAAGATCCGGAATGGAAATAAACACGAGCAAATTTAATTAAGTTGGACAGATTCCGGCCAAAATGTTTTGGAGCTCTGGTCATACCGTAATCCGTCTTATCACTGTCCTCTCGGTCTATCACCACCCATTTATATAGTCTAAATAAAGGTTGGAGATCAATAGTCAAGTCCAAATTTCTGACTAAACATTCCCTCTTTCTGAGCAATTCGATCAGGACGAGAATTACTTGGTTAACTATGTCCAAATCCATATCGGAGTCTGTGACTAACTGGTATAACAGTTCTATAAGCAATATATGATCGGCTTTGTTAAATCGGAGGCCATGTCTCAAAATGTACAAGTAAATTTGGTTGCTCCAATGCAAGACTCCAGGCCTGAAATCATCGTTTTTCAGTGCTCTGACTAAGTTTAACTTGATCCATTTCCAATGAGTAATTGTTTCAGGAGTTAGTGAAATGTAATAGTAAGGAAGAAGTGAATCGAATTTGTTGAGTTTTTGGAAATTTATCTCAAATTTTAAGCTTGGTTCTTTTGCAATGTTATTTTCGCTTTTATTGTCAAAACAAGCCTGACCCTCTTGTGAAATCGAGTAAGAACTACAAGAGTTTTCAAGGTCACCATTCATCAATACAATATTGTCGAAGTTCATAATTTGATTGTAGAAATTGATAATATCTGTAAAAATAGATTATGTTATATTAAAAGGTCAAATAGAAATAATTATAACAGCCAGTATTTTGTAATTTAAAATTATGGGTATAAAAATAATTTGTTTATTAAAAAATTTCAGAGTTGTTAACGCTCCTTTTTAAAAGTAGCTAGCTCCCGCTCTCGCTCCTACCTTCTCAAAAGGAGCTAGCTCCCGCTCCTGCTACTACATTTTTAAAAGGAACTAGCTCCCGCCAAATAATGGAGTGCCACTCCATAACCGCTACTTTAATTTTCATTTTTTAGAAGGTACACGAAACAAAATCATATTTTTTTATCAAAAAGTTTTATTTATATTAAATGATCTATCAAAATATTTATAATCTTTTATTAGCCTTTAAAAGTAATAAATTTTCTAAATTAGAATCTAACAAACATCCACGCCTCTCCTAAGACCTGTTTTGCAATACTAAATAAGCGCTCCATAGAAACACTAGAGGGAAGCGGGGTATTGTATTTTATATAGATATTTTTTAAGTCAGGTATAAAAAAGTAATGAGAAAATTAAAATAAATATTTAAATATATTTAAGGAAGCATCATATATAACAACACACAACTATAAGAATTGTCCAAAAATAATTATAACCATTTTAAAAAAAATTATTCTAAAATAAAAAAAAATATAATTATCTTAGATACTTTTATAGATTGGAGCTGCTCACTTTTGAAAATGAAATACTTTTACTTAAACACAAAAGGCATTTTGCTCTTAAATTAGTTTGATCATTTGAATCAACATCTTTTAGAAGTTTAAAATATTTTTTGTATGATGGAAATGGAAATTCTTCTATGATCTCTAAATCCATAATATCGAAAACTATATTTAATTATATATCTATAAAATAAATATTAATAAGATTTACAATATTTTCCACAAAATTTTCAATATAAAAATGAAAAACTTGATGTTTAATATTTAAATGATTAGAAGAAAAACCAATATAAAACTCGGCTCATAATGAATAAATTTAAATAAAACAATTTCATTTTTATCAAATTTTATAACAAATATTATTAATAATTAAAAATAATTTAATTTATAACTTAGCGGTGGAGCGGCGCTCCTCGACTCCAGCCCTAAAAGGAGCTAGCTCCCGCTCCTCATTTTTAAAAAGGAGGCACTCCAGGTGTTTTTGAAAAAATGTAGCGGCGCTCCTTAACAACTCTGAAAAATTTAGATTGCTATTGCTAGAACAATTTTTACAAATATATATAAATAAAATTTCATGTATTGTTCAATTTGAAAATTAATTTGATTTTATTTAAATAAATAAGGTCTCGACTGGGATTAGTTTATATATTATTATATAACTATTATTAAGCGCACAAATTGAGCGTTTCAAACGTTGTGTTGCAAACGCAACAAATGCATTAGTTTAAATTGCGCACATTTACTTTTCCCAATTGCGCCAATTTAAAAAAAACCGCAATTTGGTTTGCTTTTTTTGAAACTTTTTTCTAAAAAATAGAGATTTTGATACGATAAAAAATAGATACCACTTCAAAAATAAATCTTTTAAAATATGATATATTTTAAAATATGAATATATATATTTATATTTTTAGGGCATGGGATGACGCTAGTGTTGTTAAACGGCTTGTTTTGAGCCTATTTTTAAAAACGGCTAACTCAATATTACATCCAGAAAAATATTACGCAAACCTGAAGATTTTGATCATAGAAGGAACAAAGGTCTAGACATATATTATCGAAATCTCGAGGCTTAGGCAATATCTTTCTGACTAAAATATTGAGTTAGCCGTTTTAAAAAATCGGCTCAAAACGAGTCGTTTAACAACACTAGATGACGCTATTACCAAAAAATTTCTAAGCTATTTAGAAATGGACGAGATGATCTGGTATCAAAGACATCCAGATCACAAAAAGACCATTATTGTAATGGGACATTTGACTAATATAGGATCTAGGTATAAATATAAATGAGTATGCCTACATTTATTTAAGGTTAGAAGAAGAATTCCCAGGATATGATACATCATGCCTATGTTTAAAGAAAAAAATCAATAATTTTAAGAACGAGCTTAATAAAATTAGCTGGGGAAAAAAGTGGATCCGAAGCATCAAAAACATCATATAAATGACTGGAGTACATTAAATTCCACAAGTAATTTTGATACTAGTGAGAGTATTAAGAAATTTATTTCATCCCCAAGCCAAAAGTTGAATGAAAGATTATTGGAATGAAAGATTATGGGATCTTATAAATAAGAAACCATCTCCTAACAGGTAAAATTTATAATTATCTTTAAAAGCTTATATTTTATCAAGAATATTTCTATCAATGGAAGAAGGGATGGGTTTAGTATACCTAACCAGTATCTGTTTAAACCTGAAGTAATGAAACTCTTCTATTTCATCACCATCAATAATTACATACCAATGGAACAATCAGTAGAAAATGGTGAAACTGCCATTGAAATATTTAATAGCATTATTGAATAAATTATTTGTATATAATACAAATAATTTAGTGCTTCTAATAATATAGAAATTATAATATCATTAATGAATAACTCATTAACTATTCATTTTTTTATTAAATTTTTTGTCAAATAAATTCTGGGATTTAAGATATAAAGACAATTCTATTTTATTATATAAATTTATTTATTAGGTAATATTCTAAATAATAACAATCAATTACATATTTGATATAATTAACAATATTTATAACAATGATATATAAAAAAATAATTAAGAGTTTAAAAAATATTTAAATTTGTCTCTTAAAATTCTAGATACAATTGTTGAAGAAGATGGGGAATAGTCTAGTGGTCAGATTAGGCAATGTATCTTTTAAATATAAAGAAAATATAATACTATAATATTTGTTGTATCTATGTCCACCTATTCCTTCATTGCTTATTATTATATTATGCACAAGGCATATAGTTTTGACAATGATTTCATTATTTTAGATCTTTATTGAAAAGAATAATTATAAATTCAAATTCAATTTTGCAATTATAAAAATAATTTTAATTATATTTGCTGGACATAAGGATGATCATCTCCTTGAATTCAACACAATGCAATGGTAGGGAAAACCATTTCACTAACATGTGCCAGAACAAATAATTTATTTAGCCAGCATCCAGCATATCAGGAGTTTGCACTTTTTCTCAAAAATTTTAGATCATCCATATCCATTGAATGACGTTTTCCAAAAAGAATATAGCATTTATGTTCCAAGTCACTCAAAGTGGAATCATAATTTGTGGTTATAGGATATTTGGTGACCTTATCATATAGCTTATATTTGATATTTACTCTTAATTTTCAATCTCTATATTTACTAATTTAATATAATCTTACTATATAAATTTAAGATATTTAATAATAAATTCTGATGATGTGACTATTTTGACACAATTTTTAATTTGTTAGTGCACATGTCTGGACCATAAAAAAAATAGTCATGAAAATTCCAAAATTAATTGTGTCGAACCGAAAAAGAATTTGGGGATGTGGCTTCATCCAGTGCAAAAATTTTGAAATGATAGTACTGTATTGTATGGGTTGAATCATTAATAAAAAATAATACTTTATAATACTGATCAGGTAAATTTTTTTATTTAATTATATCTTTATTTTACAGATTCTATGAACATTATATCTCAATTTTGATAGTAATCTTTATAAACTTAAAATCAAACACCACCCACCCTTAAAGTAACTAAATTATACTGTAGTTCTCGGGTATAGGTACTTTTTTCTGCCCCACTCCTTTTTTAATAAGCCTATAGAGGTTTAAGTAACATTTTCGAAATGTTGTGCCTGCATACAAGTACGTCCGGCTTGCTCACAAACGAGTGGAGGGCTCCTCATATTTTTACTTTTATACCCAAAATAAGTCCCAATTAGATGGAAATGAGGAAAACCTAGCGTAGCTCTGTTGAACCTTCAACTCTAGATGGCAAAAGCGCTATATATCACGTATCACATATATATAGATATTAAAAATGTGAAGGTCAGAAAATTTGAATAAAAAAAATGAATGGGTCAAACTTGATTTTACGTAAAATTTTTACAAGCTGGGCCAGGTCAATTTTTTAAAAACGATCATGATCTGGGCATGCAAATAAACTTACGAATTCAGTACAAAACAGCAAAAAATTTAAAATCTCTTATATTTTTTAGAAAATTTTTAAAGTAAATTTGAAATTGATATTACTAGATGCTAAGGAAGTTTCATCTATTTAACGTTTTTAAAAAAATCTGTAAAAATGAATAAAATATCATCTTTACACTTAATTTGATTCCCAAATTAGGAATCTTTCATTTTAAATAGAATTATTTACTTACTAAGCATAAAAAATCTGTAAAAATGAATAAAATATCATCTTTACACTTAATTTGATTCCCAAATTAGGAATATTTCGTTTTAAATAGAATTATTTACTTACTAAGCATCTATTAATATTTAGGTAGGGATATTGTTATAGGTGCTATTTTTTTGGTTTTTCTGCTGTGATATTATCTGGCCCTGGAGCTTTGCTTTTTCTTAGTCTTTGTTCACTTGTTATTTCATTTATGGAGAAACCAGTCGACAGGGGGGTGGCGAGGTTTGTAAATATGTTTTGTTGGTAGAGTCTTTCCGTGAGTGATAGACTATCATATAACAATCAAGCCATAATGCCTTTTGTTAATGCTGGCCAACAATTACTTTTCCATTTCCTAAAACTTACGGAGCTGGTTCCTATTTCTGCGTCATAGTTTCCTTTCTCTCATATCTTTATCATTATCAAAGACCTTTTTCTCTATATAATCTATCTATTACTCCATAGAGTATTTTGTTTCTCTGGAAAAAGAAAAAAAACCGTTTGTTGTGTGGTGTTCGTTGCTGGATAGTCATAAACCAATTACTGACTAGTTTTTGCCTATTCACTGGAATCTTCACCTATTTTAAACAATTTGCGGTAAACCCAATTAGCTTTTCCTAATTTTCATGAATAAATTCTAATCTCAATTGATATGAACACATTCTCAATTATTGTTAGTAACTATCAAGGCTTACATTAGATGTTAAACTTAAAATTAGCCACCACCCACCCTTAAGTAATTAAATTATTTTGGCAGTTCATGGGTATAGGCTTTTGTTTTGCCCATTTCTTTTTGTTTATTAGCCTATAGACGTTTAAGCAACAGTTCTCGGACTGTTGCGCATACAAGTACGTGCGGCTTGCCCACAAACATGTGAAAAGCTCCTCATTTTTTTTTCTCCCCTTAATTAACTATCCAGTTTGATGGATTTTTGAAGAAAACATAGTGTAGCTCTGTTGTATCCACAACCAGAGGGCGAAAACGCTTTTATCACGAAATTTCAAATTTTAAAAATAAAGATATAAGCAAGATTCCCAATTTTTCATTGTTTCATATTTGCTATATCGTGCTCTCGCCAAACTTACAGGCTTGTATGGACAATTTGTGCAAAAATTATATAAACAGATCAAGGAATAACAATTTTTGAAGATCTCTACATTTTACAAAAATTATAATCAAAGGAGCATTGCTCCTCTTTTTTTAATTTAAAGCAGAAGCACACCCCTTATTAAACCCCAGTAAGGGGCACTAACTTATTTTATAAATTAGCTCCTTTTAAAAAGGAGCATTAATAAATTCCTTAAAGTGATTTTTACCACCCCCTCTATTCCCCACAAAGGCAATTGTTTTTGACAGTTATAAATTAAATCATGATAAAATTGTTCCAATAAATGTTAAATTTCATTAGGAAAAAATCCTAAGTCTCCTACTCTAAAACCAAAAACTGATCTATCAGTCACAAATTCCTCCCATCCTAAGGAAATGACAACCTTATTGATATTAGCTATAATTTGTTCAACAATAACATTAGTTTCCTGGCCATGCCTTTTTTTAGTTATATACAATTGGTATTTAAAAAGTTTAATAAAAATTGTCAGATCAGTGTTAAATAAACTTTCTTTATTGCTTTATAGTATTCTTATAACTTCTACATTTTAAAGTTAATTCCTAAAATAATGTTTAAATATTTACTATTATAATGTAGCTGGTTAAATTTTTTTGTTAGAATTAGTTAGTAAGATATAGATATGTTTATTATAAATTAATTAAATATTTGAAAAAATATTGTTAAAAATTATATCAAATTTTTAAATTAAATATTATATTGTGTTATTTTATATCAAAAAACTAAACAAGGTTGAGTAATTTTTAGAATCCATTATTATGTGCAAGGAAAATATTATTAAGTTTAATGAATATTATAAAAATATAATTGTTTTAAATATAATTTATAGATGTTAAAATATAGCAAATTTATAGACAAGATATATAATGTACTAAAATAATATATCCTTATTATTAAGTATTTATAAGTATTTATAAGATAGGGATAATAAATTGTTATTAGAATTATATTTAATTATCTTATTACCTAGTTATCTAAGATATATTGAATATACTGCGCCTAATATAATATGTGTTGACAAAATATGTCACATGGGTAGTTGTTAAAAATAAAAACCTCGATTTCGCTTATTAAAAAAACTGCTATATATTCGAATATAAATACAAGTACACTTCAAAAAAAGTATTTAAGTATAAATTAAAATTCGTATAAATTGTATTTTAATAAAAACATTAAATACCAGTGACGAAGTGTAAGTGCACTTAAGGAAGGAATTGACTTATTTCTTTTTTATTAGCCACCATATAATATATTAAGATATAAAAATGAGTGGAATTCGTCTTTATTAATAAAATTCTCAAACTATAATTAGATTTATGTGACAAGTAATTTATAACACTTTTGCCTTCAGACTATGAAGGTTCAACAGATCTACACCAGCATTTGGACAAAAGCTCATCGTGTTAAGAAATATTGAGCTCTTTTTTATTTAGGTTATTTTCATATAATTTTTTTTAAAATAAATATTTTTTAAAGTTTTTAATCACGATTATAGTGTTGTTACGGCACGTATTGAGCCAATTTTTTTAAACGGCTAACACAATATTTTAGAGAGAAAAACATTGTCTAAGCCTCGAGATTTTGTCAATATATGCATAGACCTTTTTTCCTTCTATGAGCATCTTCGGACTTGCGTAGTATTTTTCTGGATAAAATATTGAGTTAGCCGTTTTTAAAAATCGGCTCAAAATGAGCCGTTTAACAACACTACACGATTATTTTCATTCACGATTCATTTGCAAGGGTGAAATAAATCAAAGAATTATTGAGGTAAATTATTGTTAAAATTGCATTTTAATTTAAATTTTGTTTTTAATCTAAATTACTAGTATTTTTCAGCATTTATTTAATGAAGAAGTGTAAAATTTTCTTCTACATAATTTAATTTAGGCTTATATAGATACAAGATCTTCCAATTCATTAGCTTTACTACATTCCTAAAATTCTTTACGCTCTTCGATCCACCTCAATCTTTAAATTTCCCGACTCACTAAAATCATTTGAAACTTCCGTCAAATCTCTTGCCGAAGAGATCCTTAATCTTCGCTTCAACCATAATTCATGGCTACAAGCATCACTTCCATGCAAGCTCGGGGGCATCGGCTTACGCTCACCTCTAACTTTTTCCATCAGTGGATTCATCGCCTCCCGCCTCTCATCTGACTCACACATTAGCCAGCTTTCTCACTTTCCTGACCCATTATTAGCTGAAGCCCAGACCATTTGGGACAATTCCGTTGTCCCAAACACTCCTCGACCCTCCTCCTGTTTACAGAGAGACTGGGATACTCCACTCAACGAAGGCTCCGTCGCTTACCTAAAATCGAGCCTTCATGACGACGATCTCACAGTCTTTCACCAATTAAACCAAGGATCGGGTTACGAGTTTCTGGAAACTATACCCTCCAACAACCTCGACTTGTTGCTGACCGCTGACGAGCTAAGATTTGCCATTGGATTACGGTTCAATTGCGAAATTGTTTTACCGTACCAATGCAAACATTGCGAAACCAGCGTCGATCGCAAGGGCAGACATTGCCGCTTTTGCCGAGGCCGTTTTCCACGGCACACCAATTGCAATGACATCATATTGCGCGCTCTCAAATCCGCAGGCATTTCATCAAGACTTGAACCGACCGGCATTTTTAGATCCGACGGAAAACGTCCTAATGGAATGTCCTTGATTCCTTGGTCAAGGGGCCAGCTACTAGTGGGATTTCACCTGCATTGACCCAAATGCACCATCCAACCACAACGTCGATGCCCTCGCTCTAGCAGAAACTCGTAAAACTATCAAATATAGTTCCATAGACCCCTCTTTCTTATTCATACCTATCGCCTGCTCTACTCTTACCACCTTCGGTAGCAAAGCTCTAAGTTTTTTTAAAGAATTAGGCAAACGGATTCGGGAAAAAACCGATCAGCCTAAAGAGTCCCTTTTCTTACGACAAAGACTTGCTACCGCCATCATTCGCTCTAACTACCTAAGTTTCATCTCTCCCAATGAATAATCTCCTATGTCTATGCTCTCTCTCTCCCTTCTCTTTCCTAGTTTTCATTCTTTTATCCCTTACCCTCTTTCGCAAATTATATTTTTATATTTTTTTTACCTTTATTAATTTTACCATATAAAAAAATTTATTATTTGCTATAAATTTTTGATAACATATTATATCAGCAACTATTGAAATAAAGAGAGAATTTACCCGTCAAAAAATATTAATTCTGAATATTAAATACAAAATTGTCTTATTTACTCATTCCACTCATTTTAGCTTAATATATATTCTGAATATTAAATACAAAATTGTCTTATTTACTCATTCCACTCATTTTAGCTTAATATTATATTCTGAATATTAAATACAAAATTGTTTTATTCAGCGTCTACATGAGCGGGAGGGGTAGGAACAGTTTGCATCCTATTTTTTTGAGGGGGTAAGGGTAGGCGGCTTTAATGGGGGTAGAATAAATTTTTGGAGGGATTATCTATTGAATTTTGAGATGAAGTAGGACAATTATTGTTGTAACCAAGCTCATAAAGTTATAGTAATAAATTCATTATAAATAATGGAGGATTTAATTGAATTTATTATCTAAAAAAATAATCCTTTAGAAAAAATTTTAGGGGGGTGGGGTAGGCAAAAGTTTTTGAAGGGGGTTTGCATCCAGTGAAAATCCTGTCATGTAGACGCTGCTCATTCTACACCTAATTTTTTAACTGTTTATGATTAACATGATTTTGCCATATATTTAATATAAATTAATATGCTAAATCAAGAAAGTTGACACAAAATATAAGTAAGCATCTTTAAATCATTTGATATAAATACATGTTTTTTAAAAGTAAATCAGAATGATTATCATAATAGAAGCAACCAACAAGTATCCTTAAACTTTCAATTCAATCACCAGAAAATCAATATGTGTACACAAACTAATTTGAAATATATATTGTTATAGAAAAAATATATAATATAATTAATTTGTGATTATTGTAGCATTATTATTTCTAATAAATTTATTCAACTATATAAAATGTATAAGAAAATATAGTGCATATACAAATAAAGATAAAAATCTATAAAAAGAGTTGCCAAAAATAGTTATATAAATTATACAAAAGATTAGCTAATATCATTTCTGTATTTTATTTATTTTTTATTCTTCTCTTCTCTTCTAGCTAAAGCTGTGGTTGGATCAGGGTTGCCAGATGTCACGATTTAGCCGTGATTCTCACGATTTCTTAACTAATTTTTTACTTACCCACGTTTTTTCACGCTTCACGCTTTTCTCACGTTTTTTGAGTAAATTAAAATAACCACACTTAGTCTCACACTTTTTCTCACGTTTATTAATTTTTTCAAAATATTTTAAAATTTTTAAAATATTTTTAAAAACAAATATAATATTTTAAATTAATTTTATATTAAAATATTTAAAAAAATTGTAGTATTTGTTAATAGTCCAACTAACCATTCACATTCATTGATCAATTACCCACAACACAAATTCAATTTTTAGAAAGTTTATCAACTATAATTATAATATGAATTTAAATAACTATACATTTCTTTTATGGATTTTATAAATCTTATATTAAAACTCGTAAAATTTTAAATGAAATAAAATAAGAGCAAAATAAAAGATCTAAAAAACAATCATCCGTTTTCAATACTAACGGATGCATAGAATAAAGGTAATAAAAAAACATTTCCCTTATTACTTAGATACTTCAACAAAAAGAATGGAATAAATGTTTAATTACTTAAAATTTATTCATCTGAGAGTGAAACCCCTAAAGACATATCTAGATGCTTGCTAGAAAATTTAAAATTCGCTGAACTTGATATTGCTAATGTAACGGCCTATTGTGCATAGTGTTGTTAAACAGCTAACTCAATATTTCATCCAATCTTACGCAAGCCTGAAGATTTTGATCATGGAAGGAACAAAGGTCTAGGCTAACATAATTTCGAAGCTTAGGCAATATTTTTCCGGCTAAAATATTGAGTTCTAATTGTGCAGATAACGCATCTGTAAACTTTGGGAAAAATTAAAGTATTTGGACAGAATTGAAAAGCCATAGTAATAATATTATACCAATGGGTTGTATATGCCATATTCTTCACAATTCGTTTAAAAAGGCCATAATTTTTTCCAAATATGATATGAGTATAGTAATTAAATGCTATAATGAATTTAGCAACTCGACAAAAAGAGTTACAATTTTATAAGAATTGGTAGAATGGTGCAATTTAGAATGGTCAGAATTACTTCACCATATTCCAACACGCTGGCTTACATTAATCCCAGCGATTAAGCGGATGCTTAAGTATTTTCAACCCCTTAAAGAATATTTTTTATCATTATTAGCAACCCCACCAATTTTGAAAATAATATTTGGATATGATTTTGCAGAGGCATATTTAGGTGTTGTCATTAACGTTGGCACATTAGTCAATAACATAAATTTACAATTGCAATCTGAAGATGTATTAGCAATATATATACATTATCTTATCCTAAAACTAAAGAATTCATTAAATTTAAAAATTCAACAAAATTTTTATGGGAGCATTTATAAAAATATTTTACAAGCCAAGATTCCACAGTTGTACAGACAACTTTTGGGATACATAATGAATCCACTTATTTCTTTTTAATGGTGTCATATACTTTGTTAATTTTAGGCATAGACATCACATTTTTAGATGGCCGCAATTTTTTGATAATATTAATAAATGTAGAGCTTTCTACAATTGAAAATGTTTGTAAAATTACAAACTAATTCATCAACAGCTGATTGTGTCATTCCTATTTTTGATGTAGGTGGATTCTATATCTTGAGTTGATTGTCAATTTTTTTATACTATTCAAATGTTCATTAGTCTCAATCATTTTTAATGAATGTTTAGTCTATATTTTTTAATTAAAATATTATTAATTCCTGAATTTTTTATTAAAAATAACTAAGCTTTTAAAGATAAATTTTTTAAAAATTTAATTCATTTTTTAATCCTTCACTAAGCTTTGTCAATTAAAACATTAAAAATACAATTAAGATTGCCAAAGATAATTTTTCAATTCATTATCATTTAAAAAGGGATCAGGAAAAATATATAGGTTCAGCTCTCTAAAACTATTGCGTCATAGTTTTATTCTATATATATATTTATTTTAAAATACATATTTTACAAACAAAGTTTTTAAAATCACTATTTTATTCTTTAAATTTATTAACCAATAGCAATACTAAAACAAGAAATAAAAGATATTGTTTAAACCCAATATAAAATTTTGAACTAATACCAATATTTTGTTAATCTTAGATTTTTAATATCGGTTCCCAACCCTATACTATAGTATAATTTAATTGCTTATATTTTAATTTCATAATTAAACTTTTCAATAGATTATGAAAATTATCTTTTAATGGTTATTTTATAATACCCATGATTTTTCTATTATTAAAATAATGTTTAAAATATTAATTCATCTTTTAACTTTCATATGCTTTTTTATGTTTGAACCGCTGGACATTGAGGTTAAAATATTTGCGTTATTTACATTTACAAATTTAGATTTTGTAGTACCCTTAATTTTCTTTATTAGTGTAAAATATTTTTTAAATTGGAACCAGGGAAGGTTTAAATCATCTTCATCTGAAGAAGTACTATGTACATAATAATCTTAAAATAAATTATAAAATAGAATATATTATTATTAACATTCAACTTAAAATTTAACAATGAGAATTTAAAATAAAAATGAAGGAATGGTGGTTGCTCAGCTTAAATTATTTATATTAAAAAATAAATAAAAGTAATTTTATAGTACAATAAAATATGTTTTTCTTTTTATAATATTTTTTAAGAAAAAATTTAAAATAACGAGTAACGTTATGCGTTACTCAAAAAAGACGCTTTACCGTTACTCGTTACCTCTAAAAAAGGTAACGACGTTACTTTACAGCACTATCAATTATTGATCTTATTATTTAGGTGAATTGAAGAATTTATAAATGTATTTGAACCTTAATTTATATGGCGAATTTTAAATAAAAATTGCTTTAAAAATAAATATTTTTCTAAAAAAATTGGATAACATGGCGTCACGGTGGTAGAACCATAACGTAATGACAGTCGTTTCATCATAATATAGAAGTTAAGTGATGGTTAAAGTTATGTAAACGTAGCGACGTTACAATTTTTGTAGAGTAACATGTCAGATATATTTTTGAGCAACGAGTACAGATCTAGTATCATCCGTAAAATATTCGATAATGTTTATCTTTATATATAAAATATATTATTTTTTGAAAGTAGTTGTGGCTCAGAAGGTTAAAGACCTTGACTAAGCCGCAGAAAACTATTTAGATTAAGTAAAAGTTTTTAAAGGTGAGTGAAAAATTGTTTGAAAATAGCAAAACTCTCATCAAGCCTAGCAAGATAAGGTTTAAAACATTTTTATTATGCATATGACCAATGTCGAATCAAACCAAGCCTATATAATTTAATTTATAATATTTTTAAAAAATTTTAAAGAAGCTAATCAAACCTTTATAAATCCCAATGACATAGATAATACCTAGACTGACGATTCATTCATTAAAATTCATTTTTAAACGTCGTTAAAAGAAAATCAGCTGGACCGGCCATTTTGGTAACACATATAGAAATTATTCTCATGTTAAAAACTACTATTAAATTGATAACTTGCTGTCTTATTATTTCGATGATCCGGTAATTCTTTAATAAAGTTTGCATCAGATATAGGAATAAATTAGGCTCTCGTTTATAATTTTAATAATGATTAGTGTAACCAAAATGGCGTCTCCACATGATTTGCATTTATGTACACTTTTAATGAATGAATCGTCAGTCTAGGTATTATATATGTCATTGATAAATCCCGACAAACCGGTTGAAATTTGACTTTACATTCACTTTATAAATTATTTTAGAATTATTTATAAAATTTGAAAAAACCTATTTAATTTTTTTAAACTCTAATCGAAATAACTTCTATAATTTACTAACCTCTGAACCCTACTGTGAAACAGAAATGAATATTCCTAAAAAATTTCCAATTTTATGGCATAAATTATAACGAAATTGTTTTGCTTAATTATCTGAAAGAACTCAAAAGTCAAAACATAAGAAATATATACAACTATTGATATAACTTATGATACCAGTTAATTAATTACACATTTATTATACCAATAATTTCTTGGTTATCAGAATAAATAATTTTATTTACATCAATTTCATATATAGCAACAATATTATATTATAAAAATTTAGAGTATCAAGTTTTTGAAAGCACCTTTCCACGTTTGATTATCAAGGCTATCTAAAAATAAAATTAATTACTTAATGTAAATGAAGTAAAAAAAAATTATCTAAAAAATCTGAAAATTTTTATATTTTAATCTCTAATTTATCTACCTACACATATTGAGATACTGGCAATTAAAAAGTGGCCATCAATATATAGATCAACCTCATTTAATTTCAAATATTTCGGGGTTTCATTAGGAGCAGTGGTTTAAATTAAAATATAACATAGTTCAAATACTGGATATTAATTTCTGGGGGGTAGGTTAATAACATTTACTAAATTAAGGCTAAAAATTGTTTCGCTCCATTGTTTTTGGCACACTTTACAGGCATTAATAACAACAATGTATATTGTTGTAGATATAATCCATATCCAGAATTTTAATCTATCATTATTACAGTATATATAAATGGATATCATGTTACCGCCCATACATTTTTTAATATACTTTTCTACAAAGATGGAGGTAGCCTGACGAGACATATACCAATCTTGAGAATTAGGCGTGCCAACGAAAAGATGGAAAATGGGAAGGCAGCGGGTTTACGAGGGTGGTGTTAAAGATGTTTAAAGATTCTGATGATTTAGGGATTGATGGTTAATAAATTTAGTCAATGAATTGTCGCAGAAGGAACTATTCCCGAGGACTGGCGAACAAGTATAATTATCCCAGTATACAAGGGGAAAAGTGATCTTTTAGATAGCGGGTCTTATAGAGCTATTAAACTCTTGGAGCATGCAATGAAATTTAAGAGGGTGTTAGAGAAGCGGATAAAAGAACAAACTAAAATTGATGAAATGCAGTTTGGTTATATATCGGGGAAAGGCACGACAGATGCAATTTTTGTGGTGAGAGAAATACAGGAGGAGTATCTTGCGAAGGAAAAGAAACTGCCTTTTTGTTGATTTGGAGAAAGCACAGAGTACCACGCGAGGTTACCTGATGGGCCTTGAGAAGATTAAGTGTGGAAAAATGGTTGGTTATGGCATTGTATGTGGGAGCACAAACTACAGTACGGACAGGTGATGGAGATAGTGAAATTGAAGTGAAGGTAGGACTTCAAAGATCCGTGCTGAATCCATTATTATTTACCTTAGTAATGGATGTGGTGGCTAGAAAATACGTGAAGGACTTCACTTGGAGCTATTATATGCAGATGACCGTGTATTAATGGCAAACAGCGAGGAAGAATTGAGGGATAAAATTAGTAGATGGAAGATGGCTATGGAAGCAAAGGGCTTGAAAATGAATGCATCGAAGACAAAGTGAAGATGGAGGAATCTGGTAACTGGCCTTTTGGTGTATGTGGGAAATGAGTTGTTAGAAATTCAATCCAATTCACAAGATGCCAGAAATGGGTGCATAATAGATGTAGCGGGAAAAAAGGAGATCTAATGTTAGCAAGAATTATCTTTATTTGTAGAACGTGCATAAAAGGGGTACATAATAATGATAACGTAGAAAATGGTGTTCTGGATGCTGGCAATGGATTAACTATGGGAAAAGTGGATAAATTTTGTCATTTGGGTGATATGCTAAATGCAGATGGTGGTCTAGATTATGCCGTTGTTGCAAGGGTCAGACAAGCATGTTTAGAGAGATGTCGTCTATTCTAACAAATAAAAGTCTCTCTGAAGTTAAGAAATTTACGTAAGCTGTGTGAGGAGTTGTTTAGTTTATGGTAGCAAAACGTGGGCAATGAATGCGACCCACGAGGCCAAATTGGAAAGAACAGAGATGAGGATGATTAGATGAATGTGTGGGGTGAGAAAGAAACATTTGCAAGGAATTGCGAGCAAGATTGGGTATAGAAATGATTGGAGGGGTAATGAGATGAAATAAACTAAGATGGTTTGTATGACAGAAGATGACTGGTTAAAGAGATGTACCTTGATGGAAATAAGAGGATCAAGACCTAGAGGAAGGCCCATGATGACGTGGATAAATGTGATAGCGGCGAATATGAGAAACATGAATCTTACAAATATTGATGTTCAGGACCGTCAAAAATGAAAAAGAAATCAGAGGGAAAACTGATCTCCTGGGTAAACCTGGAAATCTGCATAAAAGGGAGAAGATGAAGAAGGTATGTTTTTATTCTTGGTAGAAGTAATAATTTTCAAATTAAGGTCATTTTTTTGAATAATTTTATTCTAATTTTATAGTAAAGGTTACAAATGATTTGGTGGGAAATTTTAAAGTGGTAGATATTTATTTCTACTTTGAATGTGATAAATAAATGTAAATTGGAATATATATGCGATAATAGGTAGTAATCAATAATATTTTTGGAAATATTTTAGCTGTCATCGGTATTTTTTGACTTGGGGAGCCCCCTCCGCGTACGCGCCTGGTTGAGCTAAAAATTAAAATTTGACCCACCCTTTAAAAGGTCTATTTCTCAGTTCGTGTGTGGAGTTACGAAGAAAATTATATTTTTCCTTAGTTATTCCTATCAATATAATATAATTGATGTGGTAAAATATTATTATTTACTGTAAAGTTCAGTAAATGTATTATTTTATCGTTAAATAATTCAAAAATTTTTAAAGGCCGTTTAGCATTCAATATTTCACTAATGATAAATTATAATGAATAAATTTACATATCTTAGGTTTTCCCATGATAGGTATATTAAATTTCAACTTTTTAGGCTCAGAGCACAGCCATACAAAAGGCGATAAACTAACTCCGCTTGGATCCTAATTATAGAATAAAAAAAATAAAAAAATGTTTTAAATAATAAAATATTTCGATTAAAATCAGAAATGTTAAAACTACAAAATTAGTTATGTTGAATTACATTAAATCAGCCAAAAGAAATCGCTTCTCAACCCAACCCCCATTTAAAAAGAATTTGTATGATGATTAAAATATTGTAATGGTATAAGTTTCAAAAATTACTTTCCATTGTTACTATTTATTTTAATTATTATCCATAAAACTTAAATAAAAAACATCCTTTTTAATTATTATAAAAACTTTAGATTGTGTTTAAAATAAAACTTCAGTAATATAACCTTATGACCCCAATTTACCAATTATATTAGCAACAGATGTTTAGGTCATAGGAATTGGAGAGGTAATTTTGCATAAAGAAGGAGGGAATGAGAGACAAATTATATTTACATACGGAACGTTAAATTCTACAGAAAAAAATTAAAGTCAAATAGAAAGAGAAATAGCCATTATATTTATGCCAAATTAAAAGAATTTATATATGGAAAAAAGGTTACGTTACAAACAGACCACAAGCCATTAATGAGATTATTTCACCCAAAGAAAGATATACCAACAACATCCACTAGCACAAATGTTGGCCAGTTACCTGTACAAACCAGAATTCAAAAGTAAAAATTTAAAACACAAATTATTTTTTAAAAATAGGGGATCTGCAGATCTTTAATCACAATACCGAAAAAATGTTTGACAATCTAAAGGACGTACGTGGATGGTAAATGAAAATACGAGCAAGACAGTAAATGTGGTGGCCAAATATAAACAAAGATATAGAAACATGGGTGGAAAAATGTAAAGAATGCCAGTAACATCACGATTGATTAATAATATAATTCATTTAAAACATGTGACAACAATTTTTTTATAATTATTCTTTTTTTTAATTTCTTTTACAAATAATAATATATTAAAAGAATGATTACACAAGATAATCAAAAAAAATATTCATCACCAAAAATAAATGAATGAACTTACAATTTAACACAAAAAAAACGACCCACATAACATTACTATTATAGAAATATACCTAAAACAGAAAATGAACAAAATCCAGCAAATCCTACACCACCATTTTGAAATAAATTAAAATGTAAGGTAGCGCATGTACAATAATAAAGAAAAAAAATGAGAAAAAACACTTATTTATGAAGTATGGAAGGGAAAGGGAAATATGTCATATTGATCAATTATGGAAAAGAACCGAAGATATATTAAACAAAGAAGGCTTATTAGAAAAAAGAACTGATGATATTTTAAACGAAAAGAATGTACTAAACAATAACAAAGAGATATGAACGAAGGAGAGTGAGGACAATCGATAACCTGTTATAATGAAAAGGAATCATGGACTACAGTAGAACTGGGTAAAGAGCGATATCCAAAGAGGGTAAGGATAAGGACCAAACTAGTCAGATCGGGGGTAGATGTTATATACTCAGATTAAGCATTTTGAAGATTATTAACCTTTTAGCCTTTAAATACATATTGAAAATAGAGAATTTTAATGTATAAATAGTTTTATTAAACTTTAATAAAATAGTTTATGGTTATTACAAATTTATAGTTAATATACATTATACATCACTATATATATATCAGATGAATTTTTTAAAATATACTCGAGCTGGGCAAGGTCTTAAGAAATATCTATGCAGGCCGAATATTTTAAGCCACCGTTATTATATATAAAAATTAAAAATAATAAATTTAAAAAAAATTCCGGCCAGGTCAAAAAAAATCCAGTCCCAGACTAGGCGAATGGTACCTATGTAGGTCTAGATTGTTTTTAAGATACTGATGGAATCTATTTTGCTGTTGAGTAATAAAAGCATGGCGATTCAAAATAAATATTTTTTCAAATAAGTAATTAAGAAAGTCGTCAGCTGTTTGCGTCAGGGTCTCTAGACTGGTTCTATCTACAGATATCCAGCTTGAACGTTATCCTATATATATCATGTGTAATTAATAAATTTTCTAATTTATCCCTTAATGCTTGGCCCCCAGGACATTTATGACATTCAAAACTACAGGCTGGCAGAGGAGGATTGCAAATCATTTTTGGAATTATGCCTTTAAGTCTTTATCTTTGATATGTTCGCGGCCACGACCGCGGGCTGTTCTACGGGGGGATAGGTATCGGCAGAATTCGAGGGACCGGGATTTTCTGGTAGGTTGACGTTGAGTTTTAACTTAGTCATCATCGGGTAATTTTAGTAATTTAATTTATTGTTAAAATATCACAATTTATCAAAGAATAAAACTTTAAGAATTTTTAACACAAAAAATATTCAGTAAAATAATTTTAAAAAAAGAATCCCCAATAAAGGTATTTTTGCAACCTTTTATAATTTATCAAACAAAGAAAAAAAAATAACATGTTGTTATATAATATCACGATACAATCATTCTTGAAACTGGTCAGAACCAGTTTCAAATACAATATAAAAATAAGGTATAATATCAATATATATAAAAAAAAGGACGATGGGAAAACAAAAGAAACAAGTGGAGAAAAACTTAAAGAAATAAGTTATACGGGACAAGAAGGGGGGGTAGAACATAACACTCCTCCCCTCTTAAATACGGCTACCCGGCCGTCGGCGCCGATTTCATTCTTAATTCCTACAAAAATAAACCAAGACGGCATTCGCCGCACCGCTGGTTTAGAGCGGATTTAATAACGAAGGTAGATCCTACCTTAAGTCAATAAAATAAATAAAACGACATTCGCCGCACCGCTGGTTTAGAGCGGATTTAATAACGAAAGTAGATCCTACCTTAAGTCAATAAAATAAATAAAACGGCATTCGCCGCACCGCTGGTTTAGAGCGGATTTAAAAACGACTAAATTTTGAAAATACGTGGAGGACTTATTAAAAAAAAGGAATTTGTAACAGGTAGATGACCACACAAAAAAAAATCAATATATATAAAATCAAAATACAATGTTTTAAAAAAAATCTGTTCTTTTGTGGAAATACGGCATTCTCCTCCCCGCTTAAATTGGGCTACCCCGGGGTGGTAGGTCCAAGAGATCTTGTGGGTTATTTGAAATTTGTTGAGTCTGTTTGTACGTAGTCGTTTTGTTATTTTGGTTAAGTGCTTCGGCCATTTCCCAGGTTTGCGCAATTTTTAACTTCCCTTTAAACGTTATATTATCGGACGTGATTACGTGACCTCTTATTCCGGAGGATTGTATCCCCGCTCCGAATTGGGAGGACAGGAAAAGGTCCCAGCTGGGGCCTAGATCGCACTGTGAGGCCAAAGCTATGAAAGCTTCCGCATATTCAGTAATCGTTTCGCCATCTTGCTGGATGCGTTGACGAAGCTTGTTGATTGATAGACCTTTGTTGTTATTATTGTTTCCCAAAATCGTTTTTACGTCCTCTATTGACAGTTCCAACATAGGCCTTGGTGCAAATTCTAACTTTAATTTTGTATATAGGCTGTGACCGCACGATGATAAGAATAAGGATAGTAAATTTGCCTCAGGTTGATGTCGGTGGATAAGCATAAAACGTTCGAGGTAATGATCTGTTGGTTCTTCCGGGTCGTAGATTATCGAATGCACGTTGGGCGCCAGTGATATGTTCGCGGCCACGACCGCGGTTCTACCGGGGGATAGGGAGAGGGATCGGCAGAATTCGAGGGACCGGGATTTTCTGGTAGGTTAACGTTGAGTTTTAACTTAGTCATCATCGGGTAATTTTAGTAATTTAATTTATTGTTAAAATATCATAATTTACCAAATAATAAAACTTTAAGAATTTTATTTAACACAAAAAATATTCAGTAAAATAATTTTAAAAAAAGAATCCCCAATAAAGGTATTTTTGCAACCTTTTATATATCAAACAAAGAAAAAAAAATAACATGTTGTTATATAATATCGCGATACAATCATTCTTGAAACTGGTCAGAACCAGTTTCAAATACAATATAAAAATAAGGTATAATATCAATATATTAAAAAAAGGACGATGGGAAAACAAAAGAAACAAGTGGAGAAAAACTTAAAGAAATAAGTTATACGGGACAAGAGGGGGGGGGGGAGGTACAATCTCAAATCCTTATTTTTTGTTAAAGTTGCTACCTATTATTGGCAACTTAACATTCTGATGGATTAGGTCAAACCGAGTGAGTGCCACTTGAACCTAGCATTATGCAATTTTTGGGCACAATGAGGCGAATTTTGAAAATCCGAATTTAAGAGAAGGGTAGATAGCTTTAAAATTTATATAGATTTCTTTTAAATTATTAAGAATTAATTGTTTTTGAACATTAATCCTATCATCATTTTTAATTATTGAATGGCAATCTTTTTTTTGGGCAGTAATCTACTATATTCATCATTTAAATAGAAACTTTTTACAACGTCAACTGTGCTCTGATCTATGGTTTTACCTGCCTTGGGATTAGGAGTTGAAAAAACCCCTTTTGACCAAGAATGAATTTTGAATTACGGATCATATAAAACGAAGCGTTAAATTGTTTTTTAATTTTGTGAATGCTCCAATTTGGGGGTAATGTCGTTAATAATTGATATTTTTATATTTTAGACAATAATGGATAATTATTTTTCATATGAATTATCCAATCGTCGCTACCATTTGTATTCATATTTGGTTGAAGAATTTTGCCAATAGCTATTGAAATTCTGCTGAGCTTTTTCTTGGGATAGCCTTTATAGTCTCTTTATTTTTATTGAAGAATGCCCCATTTGATTTAAAGTAGAATTTAAGGATTCTAATAGGGAGTTGCGCATTGTCGTTATTAATTGGATAATCATTTTCTATATCGGTGGAGTTTAAGAAATTATTTGAAGTTGTAGGGATGTTGTAATCCTCTAAAATTAGAATACTATTATTCTTTTTATATAAAAATTTGCGACACTTAGGACAAATATATTCTCCTTTATTAATTTTATGATTGTCATTATTGAACCTTTTATGGAATAGTGATTTGGAAGATTCAATGGATTTGTACAAAGCATATTAATAAATTAATTCAAAAATTATAAATTTTAGGAAAAAGTAACATATAAAAAACTCGATAAATTATTGGAGGAAAATTATTAGAAAAATCGATAATTTAATTAATGCTTACTTAATAAATTTTATTATCTATAAATTAAATTCAAGAAAATTTAATTAAAATTATTTTAAATATTTATAATATACTACTATTAATTATTCGATAAATATTTTTATTATGGAATAAAAAAATATTTTAAACTACTTATGCCATCTAGCGGATTTTTCAAAAATGAGATTACTAATTAATTTTTTTGGCCCCACTTTGAAATTTTTATATGAACAATTCTTGGTACTCTATAAAATATCTGAAATTTAAAAAAAAAATTTAGTCTAACATTTTAAAAAATTAATTAAAATTTTTACCCACAATTAAAAAAATATATATAAACTAAGAATTAATTTTATTTAACACATGTTCAAGAGTTTACTTAGGGCTATAAAATTAGCCATAATAGATATACATAGTGCATCTAATATAAAAGTTATCCCAATTTTAAAAAATCATTTTTTTTCAAAAAATGATCAAGCTGAGCCAATTTGAAACCCTTATATCTCCGGTTCTAATAAAGTTAAGAGTCTAATATTTTGGATTCGTCAATTACAATATTTTATCAACTTAAATACCAAATTTTAACAAAATCTGAGATGGTCGGGTTGTAAAGTGATTGATTTGACATGGAATGACCCTCTGATTTATATATTAGTAGCTAGTTTGTAAACTAGCTATTCTTCCAGATTGTCTGTATTCTATTTATGTATACTGGCTATCTAGTTGGTAAACTAGCTAGGCATCAAGTTTATATTGGGGATGCATATGAAAATTAAGATTTATAAATGCATGTAATTTGTTTGGTCTTGATTAAAGTGCTCAAGACATTTTTAATAAATTTTCAACAAAGTTATTTATTTTAAATCATTTATTGTTTTAAAAAATAGGTGGAGATTATAAAAAATTTTAATATTTTATTTTTAAAAACATTTTTTATTTTCCCCTAACGCTTATTTTTTAAAAGTAAAATTATATAAAACATTCATATGAATTCACTTTCAAAAAATAAGCAATTATATATTTGGTTCCATAACATCTATTTATTCTATGGCAGAAAAAAATAGCACGTGAAGCTCCCCTTGCTTATATGGTGGCTTCGTAACTACTAAACTTCTAGCTAGTTTACAAACTAAGTTTTTATATTAAATACTAAGGGCCGGGTTGATTCTTCTGTAGATTTGATATGGTATACAACATATTGCTCAGCAAAAAAACTAATAAAAAAATATATTTAATTTGTGAAATGGAAAAAATCAAAATAAAGCCTATATTTCGATCTTTAGATCAATGTTGTATTATACTCTAGAAGTAATAAGAAATTATTTTAAAAGTACCCGTTTTCTGAATTCCTCTTGTGTGAGGCAATTATCAATGCTGACACAGCCTAATAAGCACCCAGTTGGATAACTCCCAGGATATTTCATTTTAGTAGCCTCTGGTTTACCTATAATTATTTTATACATTAATTTTTCTATATTTTCTATAGAAAGTGCATTTAAATATCATCACTTCCCTCTATCACTTTATATTTATTATTCATTGATAAAGAATTATAAACCTAAAATATTGGCATAATATTCTTGGTAGAAACTTTCAATAGTTTTAATTTCACTGGTTTCGGGTCGTTTAGTAGTAGAGGCTATCCATAATCTGCCTCTATGAGCCGTGTACCAATTTCTTCCTTCTTCCCTTAGGAATTTTTTTAAAAAAATTTCGAATTATTATATATCGAATTCTTCGCTCCTATCTGAAAATGAAATCTCAGGCAAAATATAAAGCTTCCATTCGTGTAAAAAATTTCTGGCATAAATATTTTTAATATTAAACCATATCTTGTAACAAATATATTGCTTTAGATAAACATTTAGAATGGCATAAAAGTTTCAGAATAAGAGTGAGGGATAAATATTATAAGCTAATAAATATGATGATATGCTAATTATTGAATTTGTTAATTGCTAAAATAATTTTTAAAATATATTCATCTTCTACAATTTGCAGATATACTTCAAGATGCTTAAAAAGATTTAATACCATAAAATTAATAGTTTGGCACGTTTTATTATAAAAATTGATAAGAATTTACCCCACTTTCCGGTAAATCCTATCTATGCCACTAAAGCTACCTCATATTACCATAATGGCTATGAAAATTTAAATTTCCAGAAGGGAGAGGATTTAAATGTATTTATGGACAAGTTGATAATGAATTAATGAAGGGCTCTGAATTAAAAGGCTTAAAAATTTAACAAGCCATATTTGGAGTAAGTAAAAATTAAAAGTAACCAAATAAATAAAGATTAGACTCTGAAATAATTTCGCTGAGAAGGAATATGTAAAATGTATTATTATTTTTAGTGCTTCATCATTTTAAAATTATGTTCATAATTTACAATATTTATATTATAAAATTTAACTTTTTAACACCAAATATGAGGAGGGAAGCATGTGGTTGATGCATGCTCAGACATTTTTTCTGATCAAAACTATTCAAAAATTCATCATCTTGAAGCCTAGTGGAATTATTATTGAATTTAGAATTCGGACAGGAAAAAATTTTGTCATTCGAAGATAATTGAGTAATAACACTATAGTCAAACTTATAAAAAAGAATATATTTTTTTTAAATATATATAATACAAAAATTTTAAAATAAAAAATACACTACCGGCCATAAATGATTGCCCACCCTGCATTTTCTTAACATTTTTCTTAAAATAAGACAAATAACATACAATATGAGGTTTATCAAATTTATTTATAAGTTTACATATTATTGCATAAAATTACAAAAAATAAAAGATATAGCAATTAATTAAGATCAAATTTTGGTCTCATCAATATGACCACCTTTATTCTTAATAATTGCTGCACAAATTTTTGGTAATCTTTCGATGAGATTTTTTAAATATTCAGAAGTGATATTGTTCCATTCTCTCTGTAATACTTCCCTAAGGTGCGAATGAGAGGTTAGAGGGCTTTTTTCGCACAAGTCGATCAAGGTGATCTTATAAAAGTTATTGGATTTAGATCGGGAGACTGGGATGGCTAAGTCAACTCGTGAATACCGTGTTGTAGATTTTGTAAATAATCTTTGCATAGCCTGGATGTATGCTTTGAGTCATTATCTTGTTGAAATAAAAGGTTATTACCGATCAAACGCTTTCCTGATGAAATCACATGGTTTTCAATGATTTGCAGGTATCCCTCCTTGTTAAGGATTCCTTTAATTTTGGCAATGTCATTGGTTGCCCCAGCACCAAAGCACCCCAACACCATAACAGACCCTCCCCCGAATTTGACTGTAGGAATTATGCAGTGATCCCTCATTCGCTCTCCAGCTGAGCGGCGGATATATTGCCTTCTTTTAGAACCGAAGATCTCTAATTTTGACTCATCACTCCATAAGACCTGGTACCAGTTGGCAGATGTCCAAAATTGATGTTTTCGTGCCCAGTCTATTCGCTTGAGTTTTTTTTTGCTCAAGAGTGGTTTTAACCTCTACCTTACCATAAAGTTCAAAGCTCCTAAGGCGTCTTTTCACAATTGTGACACTTACCGGGTTTTCCCGAGTCAGATTAATCTTTGCTATCTCTGAGGCAACAAGGCGTTGATTGCGTTTACTGATCCTTGCTATATACCTATCATCGCTTAAAGTCGTTTTGCGGGGTCTTCCAGGCCTCTTTGGATTCGATATTGTATTATTGTTGCGTAATCTTTTAAGTATACAATCGACTGTTCGTCGATCTAGATTTAATTCTCTGGGAATTCGGTGATTACTTTTACCAATTATGTGTAAATGAATTATTTTGCAATTAGTTGGAATAGAAATTTCTTTTCTTTTAATCATTTTGGTCGAATGTTCGTTAAAATTTATAAAATTAAAGGCTTATTTAAAGAATGATTTAAAACAAAAAAAATCTAGGAATTTTTTAAAAATAATTAAAAATGGGTATTAATAATCAGATTAGAATGTGATTAATGATTTTTTTCCAAAAAACAATGGGCAATTAAAAATTGTTGCTGAACTAAACTAATGAACCCTATTTTACCAAATAGGTCATTTTTGACATGTTGCTTCCAAAGGCTAAATTTCATAGAAAAATATATTGAAATTCCGAGTTTTTTATTTCTAAATATGTCTAAACAACTTAAATTAATTAATCAATTCGCTTTTACCCAAATAAGTTAAAAGGTTTTAAGTTATTAATTTTTTTAAATACAGTGGGCAGTCATTTATGGCCAGTAGCGTATATAAATTGTGAAAGACCAAATTTTGAAAATTTTTAAATCTCATACCCTAAAACCTTAAGAAAATAAATCCTAGAAGGGGAAAAATATTAGAAAATTTATTATTGAATCATAATTGAATCCAGTCATGATAAAGACTAATAAAAACTAAATTATAGATATAAAACACAAACTATTTTTTATACCAAGTGATCAGTGGCGTAGCCAAGATTTATCATGGGAGGGGGGGGGGGGCAAAAAAAAATTTTTGGGGAGGGGGGGGGCTTCGCCCCCAAACCCTATTTTTAAATTTTGCCAATATTATGTGCTTTATTAGCAGGGGTTCGAACCGAACCGAACCGCAAAACCGGAATGAACCGTTATGATTTTCTGAACCGTAACCTTAACCGAACCGTTATGAAGAAAATATTAAAAGAGCGAACCGAACCGTTATGAAGAAAATATTAAAAGAGCGAACCGAACCGTTATAAATATTTTGAACCGGTTTAAACCGGTTCAAAACGGTTTTAAAAATAATTAATTTTAAATTATTAACTTAAATTTAAAATTTTAATTTTCCTGAAGTATATCAAAAACTTAATTCGTTAAAATTAGATATAGCAACAAGATATGATAGGTCCATATTGGGGATCAATATTCAATTTATAAATAACGGAAAAATAAAATTAAGGACTCTATGCATGAAAGTGATTAAAGAACGACACACATCAGAATATCTTAAAAAAATTATTCTAGATGTTCTAAAAGAATATGAAATAAAAATTGAGCAGATTTACACAATAACCACCGATAATGCAGCAAATATGATTAAGTTAATTAGCTATTAATACTACATGATGAAGAAGATGATGAAGACGATGACCTTAACGATTATTTAATTAATGATGATTTAAATAATAATGATATATATAATGACGATTTAAATAATAATGATATAATTCATGATGAAAATAGAGAAATTTTTAATATTGAAAATAATAATCTTGCACCAAATGCCAGATCCATATTAATAGGTATTAGTAGATGTGCTTCACATACATTTCAATTAGCAATTAATGATTGCATTAAAAATTCAAATGAAATTGTCATTATAAATAAAGCAAGAAACATCTGCAAAAAAATAAGAAATCAGACAACAATGGCTATTCTCTCAAAATTAAATTTGAAAAAACCACTAATAGATTGTTGCACAAGATGGAACTCTATCTATTTAATGTTGGAGAGATTACTAGAGTTAAAAAGCTTTTGCCAAGAAATATCGCTCCAAAGCGATCGCGAAAAATGTTTATCAGAAAATGAATGGAAAATAATTAGTGACATATTAAAAGCTTTATATCCAGCTTATGTTTTGACAAAATATTTACAAAGTGAACAATTGACAATGGGCGATTTTTATGCTGCGTGGATCAAATGTCTCATGCAAACGAGTAAAGCAGACACTCCATTTGCCAGACTTTTAGTTTCTACGATGAAAGCACAAGAATTAAATTTCAAAAATGAAGTTTTTTGCTCTGCTATTTATCTCGACCCTAGATATAATGTATTTTTAACTTTTGAAGAAAGAGAGATCGCCAGAAAACATCTTTGTAAAACTTGGAACTTGATACAAAATCTAAATAATCAGAATATTGAAATTCTAAATACTATGCCTACGTGTTCGTATTCGAAGGATAATTTAGATGATTATTTTGAAGATTTATTAAAGTCGCATGAAAGTCTTAATAAGAATAATTCTCAGGGCATCGAAAATTATAATAAATGTATAGAAATAGAATATATAATTCGGTCATTTGATAATATAGAGAGATTAGAAAAAGATACTAATCTTTTGAATTATTGGGAAAATGTAAAGAATAGTATGCCAGAACTTTATAAGTTAGCTATAACTGTACTAGCAGTTCCAGCTACGCAGGTCTCCGTAGAAAGAGCATTTTCAAGCCTTAAGTTTATACTCTCTGCACAGAGAACTAAATTAAATCCTGAAATATTAGAAAATATTTTAGTTATCCGTTCGAATTCTCTTTTTAAACCTAAATACATATTATATTATTGTATTTACGCATGTTTGTTTTTATCTTATTTATTTATAAAATAAAAAAAAACTTATTTCCTAAATTTAATAAAAATATCTATTAGATTATCATGGATAAATTAAATAAGAAATTATAAACTAAAAAGATTTTTCTCTAAAATTAATATATACATGGTTAATGATTAATTTTTTTTTAAATTAAATTTATAAAAACCGGAACAAACCGAAAAGAACCTTTATAAATTATAAACCGAACCGATATGATTTTTTTTTAAAAAACCAAAATGGAACAAAACCTTTATAAAATTTTAAACTAAAAACCGGAGCGAACCGAACCGTTATACTAAACGGTTCGAAACCCTGTTTATTAGTGTCAAATCGTAGCCAGCATAAATGAAAGAATATTAGTAACAGAATTTTGGCCAATTTATAATTAATAAGTGGCTGGAAACATTATTCTAAAATTTTATCAATGTTTAATAAATTGTAAATTAATCTCTCCAGTGTAGAAAGAAAAAAAAATTTGCCCCCCAAACCTTCCATTTTTTATGATCACTCAATAAATCTTATTGATTTTAATTAAATTTTAGAATTTCATTATAAATTTTTTTTATTGTTAAAATAATGAAGTATAATAAATAACATCCCTTATTTATTTTAATGATAAAATACAATAAAATAAATTTCTAAATGTAGAAATTTTATACAGATAATTATATTAAAAATTTATTGTATATAACTCAATAAAATATAAGTAATTCTTGTATGGTATTTTTAAAAAAATATAATTTAACAATTATAATTAATACAAATTAATCAAAATATAAATAATTCATATTGCAAATGCAATACTTTTATTAAAAATAGGCGCAATTACACATGGAAAGGGCCTGCAAAGCATTTTTTGGTCTCAAAGAGTATTCTATTTTATCAAAATCTTTATACCAAAATACGATATCACAAAATATCTTATCATGTGATCCTAATAAATCATCAGAATAAAATGAGATTATCTTAATATCCTCTCGTGTTTCAAGTGTAATCAACAATTCAGACTCAACTGGGTGAAGAAAATAGAAGTTTTTAAAATAAAATTGTGACTAATAAGTTTTCATTTAATTGAAATAAAAATGTATTAATAAGGGGAATAAAAATATTTATTTTATAAAAATCCTCAATCATAGATGCATCAATATTTAAGCGATTGGACTGTCTAAAAACTACTCTAGGTTTAAAAATTTCAATCCCAAACATATTAGCGATCTCCTTTACTTTCTCATATATTTCATGAAATTTTCATCAACATTATCTCTGATATTTGTTAATATTTCAACATTATCCTTTGCCCTATTCATAACCTCCCTTAAATCCAAATCAATTTTTTGTAGCATTTTGCTAAAATCATATTAAAAATATGGCTTCGTAATAGCTTCCAAAAGATTTTCAGCATATGCGGAATCTTTTACTTAGCTTGATATGTAGGATTCGAGCACTGCAAAAATAACTTCATATAATTCGATGAAAAGTCTCACTGATTGTTGTCTTTCAATGAATAGTTGGGCAAAATCTTTTTAGTTTTTTTTTGATTATTTGAATCTAAAAGGCTGCTTCTTCTTGGGTTGTGTAAAAAGTCACAAACTGACGATATTGTTTCTATATTTTGAAAAATATATTAGAATTATAAAAAGATATCTATAATACATAATAAAATCCAATTAAATTAAAATATTTTTACGTAAACTGTTCTGGATGTCTCGAATTTCGCATGCCTCATATATAAACATATTTAGGTAATGTGAACTACAGTGAACATATAGAGTTGTGCTATAAAGCTCTCTAATTCTTGATTGCACCCCTTTAACGTGACCACTCATTGAGGGAGCTCTATCATATCCTTGGCCTCTCATTAGATTTAAATCTAAATCTAGGTCTTGAATGGATGCTAAAAATTTTTGGCTAAGGTTTTTGATTTAGTGTCATGTATGTCAATAAATTGAACAAAGTGTATTTTGAAATCACCTGATTCTATATCAATAAACCTTACTGCTATGGATAATTGCTATGTCACCAACATCCAACCGAAGTCTCATCCGCCAAAACATTAAAAAATGGTGATGCTTTCACTTTTGATGAAATTTCTTTGACCCTATTGCATATGGCTATTATTCATTTTGAATACTTGGACTAAGGTAGGGTAGGTGGCATTTTTAGCAGAGCTTTCAAAAAGCTTTATATAGTTATCATTATTATTACATAAAAGTTTCAACAATTCCTTGAAATTCCCTTCATTATGAGAAGAGTATGTAAGTGTGAAGGGGCCAGCAGATATTCTACGAGCTCTTAATGCTAAGCCCTGCCTCCCTAACAAAATGATTGCATCAATTATTATAATTTCTTGCTCTGTTGGTTGTAACAATATCAAATTTTTTTTTATTCAATACATTAGATATTGATATCTTTTGATTCATAGAGATGGCTTTTAAAGTATCCGATATCTCACAAGAATTGAGATGGTAAATATTTTAGTTCGTATAATTTTTAATATATATTTTTAAACCATGTGATCATTTAAAATTGAAAATTCTTATTTGTTTTTTTTAAATATATATCATTTTGATATCGTATATGGGTATTCCATGACAAATCGACCAGCAATTTGGCCGACCATCTCAAAAATGAATGAAACTTGGCATGTTAGTTATTTATGTTGTAAATGTTAATAAAATCAAAATTTTAGAGTGCTAGCTCAACCAGATCCAAAGATATACACCTTCAAAGTCGAAAATCGCGAAGTGCGTGATTTCATTTAAATTTTGTTATTTTAAAAAATACTTAAGATAGAGTTACAAATTATATATCATTTTATAGCCCTTAAAATTTTAAGTTGGAAAATATTTTAAAAAATTAAAAAATTTCAAGTGTATCTGATTTCCTGTAAAAATAAAAAAATTAATATTGTTAGGAAGAGATTTTTTTAGGTGCTAATATTCACTAAAATGTTTATTACCTTTATATTAAACGATTTAATAAAAAATCGCGATAGCCATTTTTGTTTTTTTAATTTTATTTGATATTTTATTATTTTTATAAATAAATAAATGTAATATAGATGGCGTTATATTAATTTTTTTTATAATATATTATTTTAATAAAAATATGAATGGTATTGTGATTAAAATTAAAAAATCAATTGAGTATAACCAAGAATGATGCCCGGGGGCGATATGTAAGTAGGCAGCCCATAAGATATGATTTTATTAAGACGCTATATTGTAAAATAAACATATTTTAAAATTTTATACACAAACAATATAAAAATATATACTTTTGTTTTAATCTTATCCCATTTTGTGCTTATTAATAGAATTTCTTGAGACGATAATTTGTTGGTATGTCCTGTTACTGTAATAGGATCTACTATTGTTATTATTTGATTAATGGGTAACCATATCTTTTCCTCAATTGTGGAATAAAAGAAGGATGGTGATGGTCCATGGGGGATGTAAAAAGGAAATATTTATCTTCTCAGTAATTTCATTCTTTTTAGTACTGTGGCTAACCACCAAAAATCGTCATAAACACATGTTACGAATCCTTTGATATCAGCAAAAGACAAATTATCGGCATTTGAGATATTGTTAATTTGAAAGTCATCTGCATATTAATATATTTTTAATTTAAGCTTACTTAAACTCAAAGGAAATGCAGCATGTATTTCCGGAGTTCCTGGAATGGGATGAGCTAAATTGAATCTTTCTCATAGTTTAATTTCTTGTAAATTGTATTGTTCATTGGTTATATATTTGTAAAATTTACTGATGGCATGTTTTGTTTTGCAAACTGATATAAATCAACTGGAGTTAAAATGTGTCCAGAATTGATGCGTTGAAGGCCTGAACGTGCTGCTAATCCTTTTAATGTTCCACCAAGGCCATAATATGGACCTTTTCTATGGGATGTAGCTGAAAAATGCTTTTCAGCTGCTACACCATCTGATTCATGATAATATAGATTTACAAAAAAATTTCTGTTTTTATATTGTGCAGCTGATCCGTCAGAGCAGTAATATATTTTGTTTGGCTTTCTGAATTGATTGGTCAAAAATTTTATCATTTTAGTCTGGTATAAATGTACTTGAATATCATGTTGAAGTAACTCTGATATTGCCATATAATTAAGGTTTTAAGTGATGGGCAAATGTAAAAGAGGAAGGCCAAAACTTCAATGGGGCCATAAAGTTAGAGCCAATATAAAGAAGTATAAATTAGATAAAAGAGATTGTATTAATAACATAAAGTGGAGAGAGATGTTGAAGGAGAAGAGAAAAAAAAAATATTGCCATTATTATAATATGCTATCATAGGATGGATAGTGGCTTGATTATTATTTCAGCAGAATTCTTGAACAGTGTCTTGGATTATAAATGCACAATTTTCAGAGAAATCACAAATTATCATAAATTCATTCAGTTATAAAAAATGTTTAAGTTTAGAAATATATGATGATTGATTGGTAGCGATGATAGGAATAAAAAAATAAAATAAGCTGATAAAATCGTTTTTTTAAATAATAACGATAGTAGATCCACAGCAATGAAAGGATATATCTATAAATTATGGCCTTAGGCTATAAATAAGCGCAAAATTAATAGTTTAAATATAAAATTTTAAAATATGTTTATTTTACAATATAGCATCAATAAAATAATATCTGAATGGGCTGCCTGCTTACATATCGCCCCAGGACATCATTCTTATTTATACTCAATTGATTTTTTAATTTTAATCACAATACTATTCATATTTTAATTAAAAATTATATATTATAAAAAAAATTATAACGCCTTTACATTCTTTTATTTATAAAAATAATAAAAATTCAAATAAAATTAAAAAAACAAAAATGCTATCGAAATATTTTATTAAATCGTTTAATATAAAGGTAATAAACATTTTTGGTGAATATTAACACCCAAAAAAAATGCGTTCCTTAATGTTAATTTTTTTATTTTTACCGGAAATAAGAAAACACATGAAATTTCAAATTTTTTTTATATTTTCCAACGTAAAATTTTAAGGGCTATAAAATGATATATAATTTGTAACTCTATCTTAAATATTTTTTAAAATAACAAGATTTAATGAAATCACGCACTTCGCGATTTTCGACTTTGAAGGCATATATCTTTGGATCTGGTTGAGCTAGCAATCTAAAATTTTGATTTTATTAACATTTACAACATAAATAACGAACATGCCAAGTTTCATTCATTTTTGAGATGGGCGGCCGAAAATCTCGTTTTTTTGGTCGATTTGACATGGAATCACCCATACAGTATTTTATTTATTAATTGAAACCGTTTTTTAAATGAAATTATTCACAATATAAAATTTTTAAATAAAAAAAAATTTTGGAGGTTATGGAGAGGGGGGTTCAATTCCAACTCCCCCCCCCCTGTCTATGCCACTGCAAGTGATTTAATCTAAATAAATGATTCTGATAAAGTCTAAACAATAAATATATCCTAATAAAAATTTCATAATTATTTTAAAAAACATTGTATTTCTATTTGGGCTAAAAAATATGAAGCAACTTAACAATGATTAATAGCCATTAGTAATCTGCATTGAACCTATATTTTCAAGCCCACCAGTTCTGATTTAGATTATTTGTTCACCCAGCCTGGCTCAAATTTGTTTAAAAATAAAACAAATTTCTTCAATATAGATTTACATTTTTAAATTGAACAAAATTGAGTTTTTAATCATATAAACAAATAAAAATTATTGGCAAATCATTTCTTGCAAAAATTTTATATACACCAATTTTATTTCAAAATTTTAAGCCCAACCCAGCCTGAACCAATTCTATTTTTGTACATCTCTAAAACATGTCAGTAATAGGTGAAATTCAAAGTTTTGATGATGTGACTTAGTCTCAACCCCTATCCTAATTTGGTACTGTAATACAAAATTACATTCATAAAAAATCTTAATGAACAAGTAAAAAAAAGATTTTTAAATAATTTTCAATTTTATAAAGTTTTACATGTTTAATACCTTAGGAAGTGGAAAGTTTTTCAATATTTTTTCATCTATGTTTGAATTATTATCAATATCTAAGAAATTCTCATTTGGTTGTGCAATTATATTTTTTGGTTTTTCAATTTTCATTTCTTCCATGTTTGTGATTTCATTTAAATCATCTTGAAAAACATTGCTATAAATTCCTAAAATATATAAACAATATTTCTAATATACTTTTTATTAAAGTCAATCAACAAAGATATTGTTTTATTTGATTTTGATTTATGTTTTGCTTCAAAAAGCAATTTTTCTCTCTCTTGTTTAATTTTCCGTTGTATAGGTGAAAGCCAACTATTATGTTCCAAAGCAAAATAATCTGATTGATCATCAATAACTAAAGTCCTTTCTGCACTTTATTTTAAAATTATACATTATAAATCTCTTTATAATAAAAACCTAGTTTTATCATAATTTAACAGTCTATTTTTATTTTCAATGGCCTTTTCAAGAGTTTGTGTTAGTTCACACTTTTGATTCATCAATTTATTAAGTAACTTATCGCTAGCTTTAGAACATCTATTAAGTATTTCTTGTTCTTCATTTGAGCATACCTAAAATGACAAATATTATTTAAATTAATAATTTTTTTACTATATTATCACAAAAATGGCAAGGTCCAGATCCTTCCTGGACGCAAACAATTCTACCACATTTCATGCAATTATTTATTAATTTGTGTTTGGAGGCCTGACATTCACAAGGATGTCTACCTGGTAATAAAATAGAATGGCTATTTTCTGCGTAAAGGTCAGTATATTTTTTTTTAGTCATAATGTCATGAGTTAGCTAATTTTAACAGAAATGACAGATGATATTTGACTGATTTTCTCATGAATTAAATTGGCTAAATTTAAGAATTTGAGTTTCAACTATTAAATAATCTGAAGAGATAATGATGCAAATATGGTCCAAAATTAATTGCCTATTACACAGGTTATCATGTTATGAATACTAGATACCAGTTAATAAATGGGATATTTTTACATATCACATATTATAATTCAAACAACATTCATTTATTTATATAACCATGATCATTTATAAGGCAGGATACATAATATTATAATATAATTTTTTTTACATTGTAATAATTTAACATTATCACACGGTATGATACATACATATATGACATCTATATATATAATCCTCAAAAAATGTCAATCAAATTTAGCCAATAGTTTTCTTTTAAATATTATTCGTCCAATCAAAATGATTATAGCAGTCACAGTCACAACTGTGACATTATATAGTCAATTATTTTACCTGATAATAGTCAATTATAATTTTGTTAATATATTATGTAATATTCAACTTCTTTATTAATTATTGGACGTTTGTCCTACTTAAATAGGGAGTGATTCTTAATAATATTTAATTAATATTAACAAATTCGTAAGAATATAAGTTATGTTAAATTGTAGTTTTAATCTCCATGATATTTAGCGCCATCTATAATATTATATTTTATTTTAAATAGCATTATATTTCTAAGTTGAAATGTAAATATTTTGTCTTAATTGATGTCAAATATATTGTTCTTTCTATATATCTATAATTTATCTATCTATCTATCATAGCAATTTTAAGCCAATTTAGATCATATTAGCAAAATGGATTTAATCTCCTATAAATCATGGAAAGCATTTCAGAAGTATTTTGAGGCAATAGGCAGGAAGGAACATTAGTATGAAAAAAATGTTTGCAGATAATCCTACAAGAGCTAAGGAATTCAAATCTATAATATACATATTCAATAAAAATCATCATAGGTTAAACATATCAAACTCGCATTCATAAACCAAATCGAACCGCCATTTTCAAAAAAAGAATTTCAATACAAAAAACAATTACAAAACATATAATAATATAATAATTACAATAATTGATATTTTTTTTAACAGACACAACATCGAGCAAAACCTTCAATCATCAGTAAATAATTATATTTTTTAACAGACACCACATCGAGCAAAACCATATACTTTCAATTTACACATCTTAATCTTGAAGATACTGAAAATCAAGAACAAGTTGAACATTACTGTGGGCCATTAAAATCTATTTTATTATTTTTTTTTAGATTCCTACACAAGATACCATTCAACAAAACCAAACAATGGAACGTTTCATACTACCAAAATCTAAAGAAGGCATTAATGATTCAACAAGAGTAAATTTTATATTTTTAAGATGTGATTCCGAAATATATATTTATTAGGTGAGGGGCTATTCTAATATTATCCATTATTTTATAAATATGTTTATGAAGTATATATTTAGTAATTTTATTTTATGTCCACAATAATAAATATTTTGAACTAAACTTATTTTTATAAAATTGAGTAATTCTTATATTTTTAAATTTTAATAATAAATCAACATAAGGAGAAAGCTAGAAAGAGACAGGCACTTTGTCGTATCAAGAAAAGGAACGAGCAAAGTCTTATTCCTACAACATCCAACCATCTTGAAGATACTGGAAATAAACAATTTGCTTCAACATCCAATCATCTTGAAGATACTGAAAATCAAGAACAAGTTGAACATTACTGTGGGCCATTAAAATCTATTTTATTATTTTTTTTTAGATTCCTACACAAGATACCTTTGGTGCAATATCTAAGTATAATTTTTTCAGTGATCCTATATCAATAAAAACAAATCAAGTTAAAAATTTTAATTTATGACAATAAATAAATTTATTTAAATTAGATTCCACGGATCATATTGCCGAAATGTGCCATTCAACGGACTCTTAATCTACCCAAATCAATAAAAACAAACGAAGTTAAAAATTTTAATTTATGTTAAAAAATTAATTTATTTAAATTAGATTCCACGGATCATATTGCCGAAATGTGCCATTCAACAGAATCTTAATCTACCCAAATCAATAAAAACAAACAAAGTTAAAAATTTTAATTTATGTTAACAAATAAATTTTTTTAAATTAGACACTACCAAAATCTACTATTCACCAAAATCTTAATCTACCCAAATCAATAAAAACAAACCAAGTTAAAAATTATAATTTATGTATAACAAATATTTTAATAAATATAAATTTCTGAATCACATCTCATAAGATAGATAAGAAAATTTTTGATTTATCCATCATCAGGGGTTATTCAAAATTTATTATTTATTTATGAAGTATATGGTTATTAATTTTAATTTATGTCCACAATAAAAAATATATTTCATCAACTAATAAAAAAGAAAATTCTTATTTCACTATCATCTTGACGGGTAAAATATAAGATAAAATAAGTATGTGCTACATAATCGTAATTACCCATGGAATATTTTAGAAAAAATTATTATAAGCCTGGCATATGTTTACATCAGAGCCGGTTACCGTATTGATATCATTATAGATTCAATACCGTAGTGATATATTGCTATTGTAGAATCAATACCGTATAGATTTTTAAGATGTTTGCATCGCTTCAAATATATTGGCGACCATTAAAATTATAAAATATTTATTTATTATATATTTTTTCATCGCTTTATAAATATTGGTGGCCATTTTCGATTTGTAAAAATTTTATTTAAAATAGATTTAATAGTTTTAAATATATTAAAATGATAAATATGATTTTCTATTCTTTTATATAATTTATCAGGGAATTTATTTATTTTACAATTCTTGATATCCTATATATTTTATATTTGTTTACTCATTATTTGTAATTTGTGAAGTGCTATATAATTGTTGATTCAAAGTTTTATAAATGATATTATGAATTCAAATAAATTAAATGGACCTTATTGATTGAGTTTATAAAATTTTGTGATTCATATATAAATGTCGAATCAAAGATTTATAAAAATCAATAACGTATTGATTTTTGATGGTATTGATTTTACAATTACACCGAGTCTGCAGGTCTCTGAATAATCACAAAAATATTAAATTATATGTATAATTTTTAGCAGGCCTCAAATTTATTTTATTTATTTTAGATAAATATTTCTGCACAACAATCATTAGTACAAGAACATTATTGTGGATTACTCAACACTAAGTGCGATTATTGCGATTCTCTAAATTTTTTATTGGAAAAACCCACAGATGGCTAATTTAAGAATTGCTGTCATAAGGGTAAAGTTAAGATACCATCAATCCGATATATTCCTTTTTTACAAGACCTTTTATCTAATCCTAACAATGAATTTCATTCAAACTTTATGAAATATATAAGATCTTATAATAGTTCACTTGCGTTCGCATCCATGGGAGCACAGATTTCTAATAGTTTAAACCCAGGCCCATATTGTTTTAGAGTTCATGGGCAAATTTATCACCGAACATCTCATTTATATCCTTCCACTGGGATGCCTCCTAAATTTGCACAACTATATGTCCTTGAGACCACCCAGGCTGTTAATGGCAGGTTACACATGAAAGAAAATTCTGGTTGCAATGAGGATCTCTTAAAAAGATCAGATATTTTAATAAGACAGAATAACCCATTTTCTATTAGTTTTAAAACCTTGGGAGAAATTGAGAAAGAAGAAAAAAATAGGGCTATTCAAGAAAATCTTCCTGTTCAAAAAATCAATATGAATTTTCGTGCAGATCGCTCAAGTGACAAGCGAAGATATAACATTCCTAATATAGATGAAGTAGCTATGATTTTTACAAATGATGATGGTGAACCCCCATTTATCAAGGTCTATCCTCGAGTTGATGGTAGTGATCTGATAAATATAAATATATTAAGCCCTAATCTTGATCCAATGGTATATCCTCTATTATTTCCTTTTAGTGACCCTGGTTGGAAACCAGATTTAAAGGGTGAAAATACAGGGCGTACAAGGGCAAATATCTCACTACTACAGTTTAAAATATTTAGATTAGCAATTCGTGAAAATGAATTCAACCCAATCCTTTTTGCTGGGAAATTATCACAACAATATATTGTTGATTCCTATTTACAGGTCGAGGCGAATAATTTAAATTTTATTAGACAAAATCAGTCAAAATTACGAGTAGATGAATATTCTGGATTAATGGACTACTTGGAAACAAAGTCAAACAATATAATTCCCGGCAAAGCAGTAATATTACCATCATCTTTTCAAGGTTCTCAAAGAAATATGCGAGAACGCTATCACGATGCAATGGCCATTGTGCTCAAATTTGGCAAACCTGATTTGTTTATTACTTTTACATGCAATCCTAAATGGCGTGAAATTAAGGAAAATCTATTTCCCGGGCAAAGTTCTACAGATAGACCAGATTTAATAGCCCGTGTTTTTAAATTGAAATTAAATGAATTATTGTTCGATATAAATAAAAAAAATTTATTTGGTAAATCTATGGCTTTTATATATACAATCGAGTTCCAAAAAAGAGGTTTGCCTCATGCCCATATACTTATTATTTTAAACGATGATAGCAAAATTGAAACATCTCAAACTATAGATAAATTTGTTTGTGCCGAAATTCCAGATAAAATTCTCGATCCTAAACTTTTTCAGATTGTTACCCATTTTATGATACATGGTCCTTGCGGGATATTTAACCCCAAATCGCCTTGCATGGAAAATGGCATATGTACCAAAAAATTTCCGAAGGATTTTCTAATGGAAACAAGACCAAATATTGATGGGTATCCATATTATAAAAGGCGAGATAATGGTATTACAATTCTTTCCGGTAAACCTACGGATAATCGTTATGTTATTCCATATAATCGATATCTAATGTTAAAATTCAATGCTCATATTAACGTGGAAATTTGTATATCTATTAAATCGGTAAAATATATCTTAAAGTATATTTATAAGGGCTATGACTGTACTAATGTTGACATTAATGTTGCTTCAAATATAAATATTAATGACGAAATTAAATCACATTTAAATGCGCGATATGTGAGTGCATGTGAATCAATGTGGAGATTATTAGAAAATAATATGCATGACCGCTCGCACGCTGTTATTCGCTTAGGAATTCATTTACCTTTACAACAGCCAGTATATTTCACTGCTGGACATGAAAGAGATGCTTTATTGAGATCAGAAAATAAACATACTACTTTAACGGCATGGTTTGAGTTAAATAAGACAGATCTAAATGCTAGACAATATCTTTATGGGGAAATACCTTATCATTATGTATTTACAAATTACCATTGGAAACTAAGAAAAAAACAATTAAATGTAATTTCGAGAATGTATTCCGTTCATCCTAATTCTGGTGAACAATTCTTCCTTCGATTATTATTACTTCATGTTTGCGGGGCTACAAGTTTTGATTATTTAAAAACTATTAATGGAATTTTAATGAGTACTTTTAAAGAGGCAGCTATTAAAAGAAATTTGTTATCAGATGATAAAGAGTGGGAATCATGCTTAGAAGAGGGATCAGTATATCAAATGCCGTCACAACTTCGGAGTACTTTTGCCTTTATCTGCATTTTTTGTCAGCCTGAAAATCCTGCATATCTATGGAATAGGTTCAGATTTATGATGATTGAAGATTATTTGCGTCAATATTCAGAAGTAATTGCAATAAATATGGCTTTAATGGACATTGAAAACGTTTTTCTTGATCATGGTTTATGCTGTCAAAGTTTTGATCTTCCTTCACCTACAAAAATCCCCCCAAAACAACATTATGATGCCCATGTTGAAGCTGCCGATTCAATCGAGCGTATATCTAAATTAAACCGATTACAAAAATATGCTTTTGATTTAATTATACAAGCGATTGAATTAGAAAATATTCCAGAAAGATATTTCTTCGTGGATGGCCCTGGAGGTTCAGGTAAAACGTATCTTTACAATACCTTAATGTGTTATATAAGAGCAAAAAATCAAATTGTATTGCCTTTTGCAACCACCGGCATATCCTCTATTCTTTTAAAGGGGGAAGAACCATCCATAGCGGATTTAAATTACCTGTGCCTATCTTTGAAACTTCTACATCCCATATGAATTTACATAGTTCGCTAGCTCTAGATATTAAAAATAGCAAATTGATTATTATTGATGAGGCCACAATGATGACTAAACACGCTTTGCGATGCATTGACCGATTACTTAAAGACATTATGAAAAATTCCCACCCATTTGGCGGAAAAGTAATTTTATTAGGTGGTGATTTTAGACAGACTTTACCAGTAGTGCCTAAAGGCTCCAAAGTCGATATTATAGAGTCCTGTATAAAAAGTTCATATTTATGGAGTCATTTTAAAATAATACATTTGATTGATAATATGCGTATTTCATCAGATCAAGTTGATTACAATGCTTGGTTACTTAAAATTGGAGATGGGCTATCACGCAGCAATTCTGATCTTCCTACAAATAGTGTTGAAATCCCACCTTATTTGGAAAATGATTCATTAATAAAATGTGTGTATGGTAATTCTATAGAAATTGCTGATATAGATAGTCTTTCTACTAAAATAATATTAACCACCAAAAATAAAATTGCACTTACCCTCAACAACGATATCATTAATATAATTTCAGGCCCTATCAAACATTATTATAGTGCAGATTCCATTGAAAGCGATACTAAGGATGATATAATGAATTTTCCACTAGAATTTTTGCATTCACAAACTCCATCCGGTATGCCACCTCACATAACACTTAAGGTTGGTACAATTGTTATGCTATTACGCAACTTGAGCCCAAAGAAAGGACTTTGTAATGGTACCCGTTTAATCATACGACATTTACATATTAATTTTATCGACGCTGAGGTATTGACAGGCACTAATAAGGGTTATCGAGTTTTTCTCCCAGAATAGATCTAGCTCCAAGTGACTCTCAGTTACCATTTACTTTAAAAAGACGACAGTTTCCTATAATTCCCGCTTTTGTGATTACAATAAATAAAAGTCAAGGACAAACTTTTGATCATGTAGGCTTATTCCTCTCTGAGCCCGTTTTTGCCCATGGACAACTATATGTGGCTCTTACTAGATGTAAATCTCAAAATAATATGAAAATTATGATTTTGCCATCAGAATTACAAGGAAAAATTTTAAAAAATGATAAAACATTCACACAAAATATCGTATATAATGAAATCTTAAATTCATAATTTGTAAGAAATTTAAAAAAGTCACCTACTTTGTTATTCACCATCAAATCACCAACTTTACATCATCTTCAAAAACTAAACCACCTTGAGCAAAGAAAAGAGAACTTCTTCACCATCGCTAAACCATCTTCCTCACCAAAAACAGTATATTCTATTTTATAATTTCAATTTACACGTTTTATTTCAGGTTATTTACAGCAAACTACGAGCAAGAAAATCACAACATCATCTTCAAAAACAAAACTACATTGAGCAAAAAAAAGAGAACTTCTTCACCATCGCTAAACCATCTTCCTCACCAACAACAGTATATTCTATTTTATAATTTTAATTTACACGTTTTATTTCAGGTTATTTACGGCAAACTACGAACAAGGAAATCACAACATCATCTTCAAAAACGAAACCACCTTGAGCAAAGAAAAAAGAACTTCTTCACCATCGCTAAACCATCTTCCTCACCAACAACAGTATTCTATTTAATTTCAATTTACACGTCTTATTTCAGGTTATTTACGGCAAACTACGAACAAGGAAATCACAACATCATCTTCAAAAACGAAACCACCTTGAGCAAAGAAAAAAGAACTTCTTCACCATCGCTAAACCATCTTCCTCACCAACAACAGTATATTCTATTTTATAATTTCAATTTACACGTTTTATTTCAGGTTATTTACGGCAAACTACGAACAAGGAAATCACAACATCATCTTCAAAAACGAAACCACCTTGAGCAAAGAAAAGAGAACTTCTTCACCATCGCTACCAACAACAGTAAATTCTATTTTATAATTTCAATTTACAGGTTTTTTTTCAGGTTATTTACGGCAAACTACGAGCAAGGAAATTACAACATCATCTTCAAAAACGAAACCAACTTGAGCAAAGAAAACAGAACTTCTTCACCATCGCTATATCATCTTCCTCACCAACAACAGTATATTCTATTTAATTTCAATTGTTTTATTTGAGGTTATTTACGGCAAACTACGAGCAAGGAAATCACAACATCATCTTCAAAAACGAAACCACCTTGAGCAAAGAAAAGAGAACTTCTTCACAATCGCTAAACCATTTTCCTCACCAACAACAGTATATTCTATTTTATAATTTCAATTTACACGTTTTATTTCAGGTTATGCAAACTACGAACAAGGAAATCACAACACCATCTTCAAAAACGAAACCACCTTGAGCAAAGAAAAAAGAACTTCTTCACCATCGCTAAACCATCTTCCTCACCAACAACAGTATATTCTATTTAATTTCAATTTACACGTTTTATTTCAGGTTATTTACGACAAACTACGAGCAAGGAAATCACAACATCATCTTCAAAAACGAAACCACCTTGAGCAAAGAAAAGAGATTGAAATCTCCTTTTTTAGGTAAAATTTTCTATATTATAAAATTTATTATATTATATTTTTTATATGGCTACAAATGCATATGTGTTCTAACCCGATAATCATCAACTCTTGAAGTATAAATATTTATATATTTTCTTATAATTCATATCTTTGTCTCTTTTTTTCTATTTCTTCCTTCTTATTTTCATTCTTTTTTTCATTTCTTTGCTCCCCTAAAATCCATCTCCTACCTTCACGCGGTGGTGAGTGAACAGTAATTCTGACTAACAGGAGCTCTGGTAAATAATGTTAGTATTTAGGGTGCTAATAAGAGATATTGTTTCATTTTTGTAATTTAAAATATAAATTTCGAAATCACATCTCTTAAAAAGGAAAATGTCTGATTCATCCATCATCAAATAAAGGTAAAATATATTATTCATCAATCATTGAATAAAAAAGACAATTCCTCTCTCTTAGTCTTAATGGGTTGGAATTGGCCTGAAGGAGGAGGGGGAGGGGTAAAAAGAATTATCGTAAAAGAACGAATAAAATTCTCATCCCCGTCATTTTTGACGGGTTATCAACTGTTATACCATAATAATAAACAATGTAATATCATTTATTCACTATTTTTATTATATCAAAAGTATCTATGTATTGTAATGCAATTATACATGTAATTTCTACATTACTTCAACCAGGACAAGAATAATTTTTAAAATAGAATTTTTAAAAATAAAACAATAATATAAAGGTTATCTTTTAAATCCCCTTCACCAAGCTAATTAATAAATTGACAGTGGGTCCGGCGTCTCTGCATATTTAAAAAATTTTACTAATTAATTTAATTTATAATTCCAACCAAGTGATATTGTATTTTCATAAAATTTATTTGAGATACTTAGTTCCATCATTAGTAATAGAATTTTTAATTTTCTGTGTACCAATCCCTATATAAATTTATGTATTCATCGTTTTTCAAAAATAGATTAATGAAAAAATATTAATTAAAAAATGCCTTTTTACTCAGGTCACAACAATAATATTTTGTCGATATATTTGTATTAAAGTAAATTTATATATAATAAGAGCTATTTTAAATTTCAAAACACACAAAGTATAAGTTAAGTAATACGGTCATTCTTGATATTCTATTTACTAAAAAGTTTAATAACCAATCTTAAAATAAAAATTACATATATTCCCATTTGGATATTCCCATCATTAAAAAGTTTCAAAAGTAATCTTGATTTATTGCTTATGAGCTACATAATGCTATTGGACTCAGACTTTATTGCGATATGGTTATGTTATACTCTAGTTCACTCTGTTGGACTCCGGTTGAGTCAAACACCACTCCCTGCATTGCATACGTTGTAGAAATCGATTTCTAAGTCAAATATGTAATACATTATATATAGTGCCTTGAGTGAGATCTGCTGAAATTCCTTCCTCCCTTGAGCTAACTGCACTTTATAGCGCAGATGGTAAACGTTCTGAATGTTTATTTAAGATTCCATGGAAGAATGACAAGTTATTAAACTGGGATTTACCTTTGTAGATCCATTCGTACCTTTTAAACTATGATTATGCTATTATCAACGTATCGGTAGAATGATGTAAATGTGCTAACTATTTCTGATATACCTTCCAACCATTTATTCACAATAGTTACATCGAAGACTTACAATACAAATGATTGTAGAAGAAGAATACAATTAATATAAATTGAGCTAAATACATCAGTAATATAATCTCCGTTGAGGGATATATAAATTAGAAATCAAATTTAGTTAAATTATAATTGTCATATGATTTCGTCGAAATTGGTGCCGTATCAGGGTTGCCATGTCTCCCCCCCCATCAGTGGGAGACTCCCGCAATTTTTTAGTTTACACGCAGACATCTCTCTCCGGCAAAACTACCGCAATTGGAAATCTCCCGCAAAAATCTATCGCAATTTTTTAATATCTCCCGCAATTTTTGTAAAAAGTATTTTAACGTTTTTAATATATAAATAATGATTTTGAGAGACATTAATTGATTATTTTTATATTTTTAAAATAAATTTTAAATATTTATTCGAAAAACATGTCTAGTTTGTAAATTTCTTTCTATCCTGTTTTATTTTTGTCCAATAATAAATCAAAATCATTTCATTAATATAAGTCGGTACAGGGGAGTATATCAACATCGATTGCAATACAAAAATATTCTCAAAATCAATAAATAATACAGATGCAACTGCATTTTCGGAAATCGTATACATCTATCATGTAGTTTAACATTCACAGAGCTATATTATCACATTGTGGGTTGAATCTTTTTCTCATGATATTTAACGACTCCAATATAAATGCACACCTTACTTGTGGCAGAACAAAAACGAGCAAGGCTATCACAAGTGTTTTAGTACCTGAATCCTAGAGGTCAATTCTAGATGATTTGAAAGATGGGCATCCATATGCAATTCTAAAAGATGCATCTAATAAGAGAAATATTAAAACATTTCCCTCGATCCTTCGCTATTTCAACAAGAATAAGAATATTTCAATAAAACTGTTAAAATTTTTTCCTCGGATAGTGAAAAATCCAACGATGTAGCTGATTCAGGGTTATCAATGATTTGCATGTCAGCTTTCTGCGCTGATAATGCCTCTGTGAATTTTGGCAAAAACCAAAGTTACTGAATTGAGGCAGCACAATAATGAATTAATACTAATTGCCAGCATATGCCATATACAACATAATTCTTGCAAGAAGGCAATGAATGTACTATCTGTGGATATCGAAATAATTGTGATGAAATGTTTTAAAGAATTTAGTTCATCAACTGAAAGAGTTAATGAATTAAAAGAGTTGGTGAAGTTGTCTGACTTGGAATGGTGTGAGTTGTTGCGATATATACCTATCAAGTGGTTGTCATTAATACATGCCCTGCCATCGATAGAAAAAATTTTACAAACCCTTAAAAAAATACTTTTTAAATAAAGATTTTAAAAGCTGTCCTAAAATTTTGAAAAATTTTTTCGAGTATGAAATAGCAGAAGCATATTTGGGATTCATTTCACATGTAGGAAATCTACTTCATGCAGTTAATATTCAGTTACAATCAGAATATTCTTCATTAAAAAAGATTCACAAAATCATGTTACAGCTCTGTTCATCTCTACAGTTAAAAATTGATAATAAATTTTATGGCGCTATTGCTAAAAATATTATATTAAATGTTCAAATAATACTCTAATTAATACATTTTTAAATGAAGCAGATATTTTTATTAGACAAATTTAGAATATTTACAATCAAAATTTGATTTTAACAATTCTATTTACAAATGTATAAATAT